GATGGGTTCCCTGGGAATCACCGAGACCCTTAATGTATTGGTGACTCCTCTGTCAAAACGCATCACTACTCCCAGATAATGCCTTACCGGGGGGAGGCGAGAGACTCGAGAGATCACCCCTCCTGGGGAATGCCTTGTGGACCCCCCCGTACGGGGGCTCTCTGAAGGCAATACCCCGGGTCGGAAATGCCTTGTGACCCCCCCTAATGCCTTGTGACCCCCCCCGAAGGAAAGCTAGTTGAATACCGGTCTTACCCATGGCTAACTAATGTATCCTGGGTGGGATGTACCCTGGCTAGAGATTCAGGATCCCCCACTCTTTCATTTAGGTATTGGTGGGGGGGGTCCCGCCCCCAGATGCCAGTATCCAGTTTCAGTATTGGGGGGGGGGGGGTCATGGCCATCGGCTAGGTTCTAAAATCCTGCGTCAGGACGTACAAGGGTTCTAAATTCCAGTTTCGTGTGTCCGGATCCTAATTCGATATATATATATATATATATATATATATATCAGGTGAATCGCTAAGAATTTTGGATCGAATCGGCGTGGGAGCTGTGGGATTGGGTTTTTTTTTCAGACACTGTTTGATTGTGCAGACATATGCAGCCGGCCGCTCTGCGCAGGCATTTTGCCTCGGCAGGATTCGGCATGCATGGGCGTGACAGCATTGCATCAGAGCGTAGCCCAGGTCAGGGCACATAATTTTGGGCATGGCAGTATTTTATCCAGCCACTTTAACGGCAGGGGGAAGGGTTTGTAAAGCCACCGTGACGGCGTAGGGTTTTATCTTACTAGCACGAAGCCACTAGGACGGCAGGGGGGAAGGGTTTGTAAAGCCAGATTGTCGGCATTGGGGTTAATCTTACTAGATCTTACTAGCAAACCACATGAAGCCACTATGACGGCATGGGGGATTGGGTCGTAAGCCACCATGACGGCACTGGGATATATTTTAAGGCCATAGCCCTAAGATTGTAGCAGTGATTAAGCATGCCTCCTCGCCTGATTCCGAAAGCCTCGGCGCCGGCCGATGCGCCTGCTTGCTCGGATCCTCCCGCGGAGTGTGCCGGGTCCTCAAAATTACGGGTTGGCCTTGGGATTGCGATTCCGCTTTTGTTGGCCAGGGTGTCCATGGCTGCAGCGAGCGGATGCTGGAGCCCATGTGGGACAGCAAGTCTCGCATTTGGAGGTCGAGGCCGCCTTCGCTTTGTCGCTGTAAGGTTTTGATATCATTTGAATTCTTGCCAGATGTGCGGCCATGTTCGCAGACGAGCTCGGGCGGCTTCAGAGAGCCAGCCACCATGAGTTCTGGTCGTCGGTGTCCCGGTGTTTAGGTTTGCTGCCGTTGAAAGGAAGTCAGCCCCGTCCCCGAGGCCAGGCGGACAGATCCCGTGGTTGAAGAGCACGAGACCGCCGAGTGCCGCCATGATTCGGCGAGCTCACGATCAGCTTGAGGATTGTTGGGAACTCTTGTATGGGTTTGGGTTGCTAGGACTTGCTGCACTCCAGGAGCAGATGGCGACATCTTCATTGCAGCAGGCCAACTCGTAGCTTTGGGTTGTGGCGTTCAGACCGCAGCCCTTTAGTGCATTTCGTGGCGGCCGTAATACCGTGCAGGATCCTGGACCTACGACTTCGCCGACCACGACTCTTCGGAGCACGGCCGGGCACTCGACATCCCACCAATCGTCCTTGCCTCTGAGCCTTGTCAGGTCAACAACGAAGGAGCCTGGGCCCCAGGCTGGGGCTAGCTCGCTCAGGGTGTTCGCTGGACTTTGCAGGTACCGGCTGTTGCATCGACGAGAACTGATCAGAGCGCGGCCGGGCACTCGATCATAATCGATCAAGCATCCATTGCCCTGGTGTGCGACCCTCTCTCAGGTCGCGAACGAAGGAGCTCCCGATGCAGGGCTCTCTAGCTGGGGCTTTGGGGTCTTTGGTTTGGGCTCGCTACTCTTCCTAGGCTCCTGGTGCGCCTTCTTCATTGACCTCAACTGACCATCCGAGCACGGCTGGGCACTCAACCGTGGCTTCGATCCTTTGGGGTCTTTGGTTTGGGCTCGCTACTCTTCCTAGGCTCCTGGTGCGCCTTCTTCATTGACCTCAACTGACCATCCGAGCACGGCGGGGCACTCAACCGTGGCTTCGATCCTTTGGGGTGTTTGGTTTGGGCTCGCTACTCTTCCTAGGCTCCTTGTGCGGCTTCATTGACCTCAACTGACCATCGGAGCACGGCTGGGCACTCAACCGTGGCTTCAATCTTTTGGGTGTCTTGGGCTTGGGCTCGCTACTATACCAAGGCCCCTGGTGCGGATTCATTGACTACGACTGACCATCGGAGCACGGCTGGGCACTCAACTGTGGCTTCGATCCCATAGGTCCAACCGCCCTTCCCTCTCCCCGCCCGACCCCCTACACATTCCTGCGAGGATCGAGTTCCCAGCGACCACGGCGACCGAGATGGGCCGAAGGTGCGCCGGGGATCACTTGGTGGGGTTTAGGGCTTGGGTTCCGGGTTTGTCGTGGCGAGTGTAGCAGCACACATTCGATTGCCGTTTGCAGACAGACATCACATGTGGACCGAAGGGGAACCAGCTTGCTTGATATCGGTGGCAAAACTGTGAAAACATAGCCTAGGCATCCTCTACATCTGGCATTGCATACCGACCCTGGAGGCTTGCCAAAGTGTGAAAGCATGTCCTAGGCATTTTCTAGACTCTAGATCTGAGCAGTAGGTTGTTGAAACTTCGGCTGGTTGATGGGCCTTTGACCACCTCGCTGGGACGGACCTTTACCTGGCTAGTGGTGGAGATCCAGCTTTCGTGGCCTTGACCTGGTTGTTCTTCCGAGATCATCCTCCTTCCCTGGTTCAGCAGCATCGGTGGGGTGACGGGTTGGTGACCTCTGCTGGCTTGCATGCCGAAGCCTACGAAGGCCGCGAAGGCCATGAAAGCAATGAAGGCGATGAAGACCAGAGCGGCCCCGCGCAAGACGATGAAAGCCATGAAGGCGATGAAGACCAGGAAGACCTCGGCGCCACCAAAGAAGAAGCCGGCCGGGAAGGCGATGAAGGCCGCGAAGCCGGCGACAACGGTCATGAAGAAGGCCGTGAAGGCGATGAAGTCTGGGAAAGCCATGAAGGCCAGGCCACCCATGAAGAAGGCCACGATGAGGAAGCCGGCGCAGAAGCCGCCCAAGGACGATGACAGGAAGAAAGATGACACGAAGAAGAACCAGGACAAGAGGAAGGATGATGACAAGAAGAAGGACGACGACAGGAGGAAAGATGATGACAAGAAGAAGAACGACGACAAGAGGAAAGATGATGAGCCTCAGTGGGCGAACGGGCTGCGGCCCCACCGTCTCCCTCCCATTGGGTGGAGGCCGGGGATGAATCAGTACGATGGGAATGAGTACTTTGAGGTCGCTATCCTGGAAAATGGTGTCTATGTTTGCGACTTGTCAGTTCGCAAGGATGCGACAGTTGAGGATGCAGTGGCGTTGGCAATGGGCAGAGGCGGAGTCGCAGACCCGAGCCTTGCCATACACTTCAGGACGAAGGATGATGACAGCCAGACAGACGATGACGAGAAGAAGGACGACGACAACGAGAAAGATGATGACAACCAGGAGGCCGACAATGCCAGCGGAAACTCTGACAGGTCTAGTGCTTCCTCCAGCCACTGGAACACTAGACCGTGAGGGCTGTGTGTGCCACTCCTCCATCTAGTCGCCATCCCGGCCAATGCTTAGGCTGCACTGAGCCCCTGCATAGCAACACAGAGGTTGGGAGGCACACGCAGCCAACCGAGGGGTGAGTTTCACATGTCGCAATTGTTTGTTTGGATGAAAATGTGCTCGGGTTGTGGGTTTTTATAGATCGCAAATCCTATGCATAGGCCGGGTAGAGCGGCATTGTGCGTACGAAGTACCAGAGAGGCATCTATAGTGCGAAAAGGGTTGGGGTTTCGGGTTTCGGGATGCTGGGTGATTGGTGCCGACTTTCCGTTCGTGGTTTCGCTTCGGGTCTCGGGGTTTGGGGTTTTGGCTTTGAAGCTTGGGCTTTGGGGGGGATTCAGGGTACTTGACCAGCCCCAACCAACCCCTTTTTCCGAATCCAAACCCCAAACTCTGAACCCAAAGCCCAAACCCGACTCAACTGTAACCCGGATGTTGCTTCGACCCCTGGGTCTATGTTCCCCCACAACCTAACAGACCTAACGCAACCCCGACCCATTCCCTCACCTTTACCTTACCATCATCCAAATAAAACCCATCAAAACCCTACACCTCGAAGCTTCAACCATGCATCAGGCGGCTCTTCCATCCAACATGGCCAGTGCCTGGGCCTCATGACACTGACTCGCCTGCTTGGATCTCGCTTGTGGTTCGTCCGGAGGCTTCCGCTGCTTTGGTGACATCCTCGGACCCAGTCTGGATCCTGGTGTCGGTATCGTGCTTCTGCCTCTGCTGCTGCTGCTGCTGCTGCTGCTGCTGCTGCTGCTGCTGCTGCTGCTGCTTGCTGAACCTTCCCTTTGTGACAGGCTGTGGAGCCACACCCTCCCGAGGTGGGGACATCGACCTGTGTTTGGACTTGACCGCGATCCTCATTTTTTGTTGCAGGCTGAACCATCTGATGCTGCGGCTTTGGTCGGGACGACTGCTCCTGTGGACCAGGAGCCCCAACAAAAGTTGGCTAGAAGCTCCACTCATCGCCATTTGCACGGAGCTTGCAGGAGAGGGGTAGAATGCAGAGTCGGCCTTTCCCGACAGGTCAAACGGGAGATTGGCATGCCGAGCTGTTTGCGAGAGCTGCTGGACACTCCTACCTTCCAGGGTGCTGTGGTGACACCTCATTACTGTTACGATGGGCGATACCGAGTGTACGAGCTGCCTGGCACATACTGTCGTGTTGAGCCTTTGCTTGATTAATCGGGTGTCCGGAGTGTTACCTTTGCAGAGGCTGCCGTGGCCCGAGCAACGGGTGTATTGGGCTCCGATGCTGGAAGGGCTCGCTGCTGTGACGGCCCACGGTGGTCCGCTGAGCGACTTTGTTGCGCTGTCCAATCACGAAAAAATGCTTCTCGTGCCGGTCGCCCAGGACGCCCGTGTACGCCCGTTTTGCCCTTGCATTTGTTGATATTTGTTGCTTGCCTTGGCAGGACCCCTTGACCTTGCTGCGAGACTCGCCTTACCGTGGCATTGCCGACTGGGTGATAGAGCAAGACCTGCGATTTGCCGAGGCGCGCCGAATGTATTGGATCAGAGGGCTTGCCCAGTACATTTCCCGAGCCTAGGAGTTACTCGGGCTACCTGACCTTGGATAGGTTGCTGTCACATGTCTTGGTGACCAATCCTAAGAGTCCACCGGCCAAGAACCTCCCAGACCGCCCGAGTGTATTGGACCAGGGGGCGGGTCCAATACGTTTCGTGGTTGCGTGAACACCGTAACCCCTGCAACTTAAGTTGGCCCTCCTGCAGCTCAAAGTGTCCGGGGGCGGACACCTTAAGTTGGCTCTGATCTGCGATCTTAGGAGAACTTCCCAGACAGCCCGAGTGTATTGGACCAGAGGGCGGGTCCAATACGTTTCGTGTTTGCATAGGCCCCGTGATGCATCCTGCCCTATCCTGACCAATCCTAGGCCTCAACCTGCAAAGCCAGTCCGGAAACTTCCCTAGAACTTCCCAGACAACCCGAATGTATTGGACGGGGGGGGGGGTCCAATACATTTCAACTCAGCTCTGACTGCCCAGGCGGAGCCCTCCTCCGCGACTGATCCTGGTACATCGGCGCCTGAGACTACAGCAGCAAAGAGGGAGAGCTCTGTGAAGCGGGAGGGTTTGCATCAGAGCGTGGCTCCTGGGCTGCCTCGTGGTGTGAAGTTGGAGCAGCCGGGTGAGAAGCTGGCTCCTGTACCGGTGCCTCCTTTGCCTGATCCTGGTGCGTCGATGCGTGAGACTACACCAGCCGTGAGGCCGGCTGGTGTGAAGCGTGAGGCTCCGGATCAGAACGTAGCTCCTGTGCTGGTTTACGATGACGACGATGGCGACGACAAGCCCAAACCCGGTGTGAAGCTGAACAGAAAGGAAAGAAGAGCAAAGAATGCGCTGCTTGCTGAGGGCAAGAGACGAGCAGCACGTTTCGGCATCAGCTACCACAATGGATTTGGCCCGTGCCACAAATTCGTTGTCCCTGAGAACCATTGGCAAGAGTTTCTAGAGGCGCTTGCCACCGACAATCCCATCATCGACGGCTGCGTGCCCTGCCAGAAACTTCTGTCCAAGGTGTTCAAGCTGCAGCAGGATGCCATCGCCCAGGTGGAGCAGGCAGCAGCATCATCCGAGGTGCCGCATGATGAGGAGCCGCCTGATGCTTTGGCCGTGGTGGAGCCCGCAGTGCGATTGTCTGCCACTGAGCAGGCATTTCAGGATCGACTGCAGCAGCTGAAGCTTGAAGAGGGGCTGGTCGGTGCTAAGAAAGGCCGTCGACCGAAAGGCCAGCCGCGGGCACTTCACGAGAGCTTGTTCGAGTGGCTACGCACCAGACGTCCAGATCAGTACGTGAACAAGAAAACAGATAAGCTACATCTGTTGTGCCGCACCTGCGGCGAGACCTTCGCCGCTGTCAGAGACACTACCATCCTGTTTGTGTTACAGCATGAGAGTCGACAAACTCATGTGGACGCAGCCCAGGAAGGGCGGCTGAGGCCCTGCCGCGGGGTGGAAATCACTTCCGGGGCTCCTTTGTGTCGTGCATCTGAGATCAAAGATGCCTTCATCATCTGGGCTACCTTTGACTGCCCTTGGTTCCACACGAACTTCAAGTGCCAGGCTTCGCTGCAGGACGACGGCAGGCTCATGATACAGTCGAGCAAGTGCTTCGAGGATGAGAGGCTCAGGATGTGCAGCCCAGCTCGGCCTTACTGCAAGTCCTGCCTAGGCCTCTGCTCGACAGAGGAGTTCTGCTTGAAAGTCAGCACATGGTGCTTCAGGATAGTGCTCTGCAAGATGGCTCAGGCAACATTCCTGAACAACCAGTCGCTCCGCACGGAAGCGCTCAATATGCTGGACAGCTGCCAGAAGTACTGCCCCCTGGATGCCGCCTTCCTCGAGGAGCAAAGCTATACGTGGCTCTACGACAAGCTGCAGGACATGCTCGCCTCCATCCCCACGGTCTTGCAGAATGCGGCCTGCAAGAAGTTCATCGCCACCCAGTTTGCCTGGCTTCCCCGAAAGCTAGAAGCTGACAAGCCTACGGACGGGAACAAGCAGAAGCTGCTGAGTCATGTGGATCTTCTGTTACAAGCCAGAAAGGCAGCATCCAGCTTGGATCAAAGCCTGTGCCAGCAGATCCTCTCCGGTGCCTTGGATGGCAACGACCTCGCCAGGACCATGATCACCGGCATCCTCAACAAGGCTCAAAGGCTCCGCAGCGGCTACAAGAGGGTGCATGCCTCTGAGTTGCCAGGGGCAGATGAAACACGTGTGGCTGAGCTGGGTAGTGCTCTCAGCAGCTGCACTGGCCAGGAATCCTTGCTTCGACTGTTTGGTTTCGCAGCACCCAAAAAGCCAGCTGTGAGTATCTGGCGAGACGACCTGCCCATGTTCTTCGCCCCCAACCGTGAGGAGCTGCGCCGCAATGCCGAGATTGTGCTGGCAAAGTGGGACACCCAGCATCGGGACTTCATGGTCACCTTCGACGATACGTGCTATTGGCCCCAGTGGAGTCTGCAGATGTTTCCAGAGGGCATGGTTTACATTGGAGGAGCCGGGGAGAAAAGCAAGCTGAGCTGCGAGCAGCACTCGCCTGGAGTGCTCCGGAAGGAGGACTTGAGTCAAACATGTGTCAGCTACTTGTTGAAACGAGCTTCAACGAGGAAGCAACCATACGACATATGTATGATTCCTAAGAGACTGAAGGATGTGACGTGCAAGAGTGTCATGATGCAGACCGGCATCGTCCTTCGGGCAGTCACTGAGGCGGCAAATCTGCCGCCGATCGCCATCGCTTTCGACAATCACAGCAGCCACGGCTCCATGAACTCGTGGTTCCTCGGCCTCCAGCATGTGGACGAGTACAGAGACCTGCCTTGGTTCTCGCAGTGCAAGATACTCCAGCGGGCGAAGCACTTGCCGCTGTACCGCTTCCAGACGATGTCCCTGATGGGGCACCCGGTGTTCGCGCACAACGATGCGCCGCACACGCAAAAGTGCCTGTGCCGGGGCTTGAGAGTGGCTTCGCGAACTCTGAGGGTGCAGCATCTGGCAGTGCATCCACAGATCATGCTCAATCGCGGACTTCCAGTAGCAGCATGGCGGGGCACGGACTCGCAATCCGATGCCCAGGCAGCATGGATGCTGAACCCGGTTTGCATCGACTCAGCGGAATGGGACTGTCACGGCCTCGTGCTGTTCCAGTATCTGACTGGGTTGTTGTGCGGCAGCTGGATGGCGAGCCATCTGTATGAAGACCCCACCGCTCTCTTCGAGGCAGCACTTGTCGGATACTACATGGTATTGTTCGAGTTGTTTGATTCGAACTGCAGTGAAAAGTGCTTCTTTCACAGCATCACCGTGGGCAACGTCCTGGCCATTGCTGGCCACCTCTGCGAGAGAGTTTTGCGATGGCCACCAGGTCTTCCATTCAGGCCAAGTGCCTCCATGGAAGACAGCTGCGAGCACCACTTCTCGCGGACAAAGGCCGGAGTTTCGCATTCTTTGCCCACGATCCGGGCAGCGCTTCACTCCACGCAACGTCTCCATCGCTCGCAGTCACTGAACATGGCCCCCGCCAACCCCAAGAAGGTGCAGCAGTGGGGTGGCATGGACGAGGAGACAGCCTACAAGTCTGCGACAAAGGCTTTTGATGCAGTCTGCATGCTCCGCTCCGTCTTGTCGATCAACCGCACAGCCGCTGACGAGTCGGCGGCCTTGCGCAACTGGTGGCAGTGCGCTGGCCAACACATCGTCCGCGATCGGCTCAAGGCGACGAATGATGCAAAGCTCGAGGAGCTCGCCCAGGAGGAAGCTCAGTCGGATGCAGAAGATGTGCTCCTCGATGCGGAGGACTTGCCTGAGATGGACGATCCGGGCCTTCACCTGGTGCAAACACTGAGCAGCTTGGAGAAGGAGCAGGAAGTACAGTGCAGCTTCGTCGCAGATGCCGAGGCCGTGGACGCCGTGTCCGAGAAGCTCCCCCTCCCGCCGGCTGCTTCCTCAGTCGCTCCCGCCAGCTTCGTCGAGGAGAATGTCGAGGAGAAGCCCGCGAGCAAGGTGAAGACGTTGTCCCAGATGCTCCAGAGTGCAGGCTATGACAAGTACAAGCCGAGCCCGCATGACGACGAAACCGCAATGCTGAGCCGCCTCACTAACCTCGTGCCAGCGATGATGGACTTCGTCACGCAGATGCGTCTGGGCGAGGCTTTCCTTCGTCCTGGCCAGGTCACGCAACCCAAAAAGCCACTGAGCACCTGGAATCGACTACAGAAGGAGCTGAGCGAAGCCCAGCGGTGCTACGGGCTCCAGGGTACTCGACAGGGCCGGGCAGCTAGCTGGTACGATTTCGCCCGGCTCGTAGCAAACAGAGCCCAAGAAGCAGCTCGAGCCGTGGAGGGCTGCGCACCTGGAGTCAAGATCATGTCCGTGCCGGAGTTTTTCCGACCATCCAATGTCTTAAACGACCAGCTGCAGCGGCACTACCAGCTGCTGGTCGTGAAGCTCCATGCCGTCGACATGTGCCGCATCGCCATCGTGGCCAGAGTCTGGCGGGGGAGCCTGAGCAAGAAGGCCAAGAAGGTTCGGGCAGGCTGCAAGCCTCACGAGGAGGCTTTGGCATCCACCGAGACACTGGCCATGCATGTGATCCTCCCCGAGCCACTGGGACCCGACCATCCGAACACGTTCAGGGCCAGCAGCTGCTCACAGACGGTTTCCCTCTGCCCTCACGAGGAGAAGCCTGACTTGCCTGTGGTTCTTTGCGAGATCGTCGACGGCTGGTTCGCCTGCAAAGCTACCTCCACGGCCCTCCTCATTGAGCTCAGCGATGCAGCTGCTGCTGGCTGGAAGAGTCTGCGGGAGCCGGAGGCTTCAACTGTCCAGCAGGCCGACGGGGAGGGCTTCCACGAAGGAAGCTTTGCAAACAACGATGCTGGCCACCTCAAGATCAGGGGATACATGAATTTGCTGAGATCCATGTACGGCCGAGTGACTGGCAGATCCTTGTGCACCGCTGATGGAAAGATAAAGTCTGTTGAGGGCATGCCGCCCTGGGAGTCCGTGGTGTCGCGAACTCCGATCTACTTTCAGATGGCTTTGAAGTCTGGCGCGAAGACGAAGCTGACGAACAGAGAGTTTTCCTGGAAGGTGGCAGCTCGCTTCAGGGCTGTGGCTCCCGTGACGGAGGCGAACTCGGAGTTCTTTCGCGAGTTTTTGCGCACTGTGCATAAGACCGCAGCTGAGCTGCCACAGGGGTGAGTGGGGAGGTCTATCCTAAGCTCCTATACCTAGGCACTCCTAGCCATGTTCTCGGCGCTAGGGCTTCAAAACTAGGCACAGTAAGGCTCCTTTTGCTCCACTCGCCTTTGAGTGCGCAGCCGACAGCTCGAAGTGCTTGGCAGCTTGTGTCCGCCGGTGAGAAAATGAAGGTCGGCGCCCGTACTGCTGAGAGTTCTGTGCTTGCAATTCCTCTTTTCTTCTCTCTCTTCTCTCTCTCTCTCTCTCTCTCTCTCTCTCTCTCTCTCTCTCTCTCTCTCTCTCTCTCTCTCTCTCTCTCTATATATATATGTATTACTTATGCAATTCCCATACCTCTGAGGCCATCGTTGCATACAGCATGCTTTCAGCTCTCCAGAAAAATCCGACCTAAAATAAACGCTTCGCGGGCCGAAGCAAGACAATTTGTATACAGACCAAGCATATAATTATCGAATTTCATTCCATTCATCGGCATCGGTGTTTGCAGATCCCTGACTCCCCCCCAAAGACCCCTCCAATACATTCCAGACCATGCCGTAATGTATTGCTGGGTGGGCCCGGCGCTTCTAGGGCTGCTAGGGGGGATGAAGAGAGTATGCCCGCAACAGTGCGTGGTTCCTGCGCGTCTTTGCCGCTTGAGGGCTGAAGACTGGGGCAAGATCCAAGACCAAGGTCTCACTGCAGAGGCCCTCTCTATGGGGCTCGCGGGCTGCCAGACAGGGCATGGCCGCCAGGCGGAATGAGAGAAAGAGACAGGTCTGTGTCGAAATGGTCGAAACGGGGTCATCGCAGACCCTCCCACTCAGTGCCACCGGTGAAGTCTTAGTCGGCAAGTAATCATCGATCTTGTGCCACGTGGAATCGGACTTGTCTGATTGCACAGTGTACCTCCTGCAAATGAGGGGCTTCTGTTCTTGGTTCGATGCTCGGAGGTGCCCCGAAAAAAGCAGTGCCTGCACAATCTTGTCACCAGATTGTCTTTTCAGGCTCATGCTCTGCCAATTATCTGGCATTGCGGCAGACAGGAATGATCTTTGTCTTTGTATGTTTCATGCAAGCTTCGTTTCGTTCGCCCATGATGGGTAGCATGGGCAACAGAAGAATTCTTTTGAAACCAGCAGCACTAGCCCCGGCTTGCCAGCACGAGCCTCGAGATGACTGCAGCCTGTGATCCCTTGCAGCGGAGGCTGAGCCGAACCAGATTGCTAATGGCTGGGCCGGCAGCCGAGTATCCAGGAATCAAGCTGGACCGGATTGGGGAATGAAACGTCCACGAGGTTCCTGATGGCATTGCTTGCCGGGGCTCTATGCTTGGCCGAATGAAGCTTGGTGGCACTTGTCGCCACATTCTGCATGTTGGCAGATACTTGTAAGTCTCACGTTCGACTCTGCGTAATGGTGTACCTATCGCACATACCGCATGCTTCGGTGAAGGGAGTGCAGTCCACTCAACTTCAGCTACCCGTCAACAACGATGCTTGAACTAGGGTGCAGGCTTGTGCCTTGTATAGTTGGATTGTTGAGCTTTTCGTGCTTTGGGTTATTTGTTTGTTTACTTCGTCTCACGTCCATCCATGTCCAGCCGTCTCTGTTCAGATGGTATGTGAAAGCATCAGTGCCTTTATTTTTCTCAGCCCTCGAGGCTGCGCAGTCATGACGCAGGATGCACCAACGACAGAGGCAGCTGAGCTCGAAGTTGCTTTGAAAAGGAGCGTAGACGAGCCCATGGCCTTTTGAAGATCTTTGCAGGACGCCGTCTCGGTGGAAGAGGAGCACTTTGTTTCGCTTTTTCGAGTAGCCTGCTTCTCGACAGAGTCTTTCAGGAGCTGCCACCCGAGACTTTGTCAGAGCGGGTGCGCCGCGTCCAGCAGCAATGGAGCCTCTTCCGCGCAGGGCGCCTTGCATCGATTCCATGGGCCGTTGCTGCGTTGCTGCGGTGCTTGTCGAGGCATCCTTGGTCCGGGAGTATGAGCCTCTGAACTCAACAAGGGATCTGGTGGACAACCGTCCTGTGAGTGTGAGGAGCTTCGCTGCGGTTGTGGCCCATCATGCGCAACAACCCAAATGCTGCAAGCAGGAGCAGCAGATTGGCTGGCGTCTTCTGAAAGCTTCAGGTCAGGTTGCTCCAAAGGCTGGAGAGTTAGGTTTCACCCGGCGACTGCACGGTGGCGAATCGCGCAGCGTCAAATGTGTCGACAGCGACAGCGAGATGAGTCGTGTGATGGCTTGCTATGTGTGTGTGTGTGTGTGCCCTCAGCTGATAGGTGCTTAACCTTGCTGGGAAGGTGAAGTCAGGTGTTTATTCGGGGCATATCTACCAGGAGCAGAAGACAAGCAAGGCTAGCTAGGCTCTAAGTCTCACTTCCAAAGCTGGTGCTTTGTTATCAACAGAGCTGTTTGAGACCATCGAGCTGAGCTAACGCCAATTTAGCCGCATGTAGAAACATGTCTCATAACGTAGGTGGCACGCAGAGAATGCACGTTAGAAGCAATGCCTGGCAGATGCGGGTTGAAGCCCCAAGTGTCAGTGCTGTGGTCTAGAATTACAAGGCCAGGCTGGCTCTGCCATGACTATGCCTGACTGAGGCCCATGATGCGCTGCTTTTTGCTTTGACGGGCTTGCCGGGGGCAAAGCACGGCACGCTGGGGGCAAACGAAGTGCCCCGTGTTGCCCTCGCCGTCAGGTTTTGGGAGCTCTGCTCCACCGCCGCCGTGCCCGGCGATGTCGAGTCAAAGGACAGCCTTGCAATGCTGAGAGGTAGCCGGTCGTCTCGAGTGAATCTGCCGATGCGTGGATACTTTCGAACCAAATTCGAATTCCGTTAAGTGTTGTCGGGGATCGGGCCGCAAATTTGTGATGCAGGTCCTGTCAAGATGTTTGCTGTTGTGTGCAAGGACCCGGCAAACTGGGCCGCGGACGTATCCGAGGCTGTCATCAGACGCAGCTTCGATTTTGCAACGAGGAGTGCCGAGCCTCAGGCTGTTTGGCATCATGGCGAGGTGCCGAAACAGACGGACTTTTCAGTGGTGGCCTGAGGTGAGATACGTGAGGAGACCTGATATGTGCGGGTGGAGAGTTACAGTTGGGCAGCTGAGGAAGGTTTCGGGGCTGCCACATCGCCTTGGGCAAGTCACAGGCCGCGGGTTGGACATCCGTGCTTGGGAAGTTTGTCCTGACTCCGTACATGGGATTGAGTCCTACGCGTATAGCCGGAATCAAGGCCTCTGGATCCTTTGCCGGCCCAAAAATTCCATAAACGGCCGACTTGCAATGCGTTTCTTGTCCCCGTCCTAATAAGTCCTTGCTTTACCGCGCAAGATTTGTCACGATGCGTCCTGTAAAGGAAAAAACGTGATGTCGTGTGCGATTGGAGCTACAGTGTGGGGGGGCGGCTGAATCAACTTAGAAGGTATTCGGTTGCGGTATGCAGCTGCACCCTTGCGCAGGTTGGACCCGCGCAAGCACAGAAGGTCCCGCCAAAGCTTTTGCACTATGTTGCAATCCTTTGCAATTCCAGGCTGCAACCTCTTCTCAAAATCGTCACCGCCCTGTGAATGGCCACGACAGGGACGGCATGTAGAGATTCCACAGCATTAGCGCGGGGCAGCCATGCGACGATCCTGGAGATCGCAACGTGCTTGTATGTCTTTGTGGGATGCGACAGAGCCATGTAAGTAAGCGTTTATGTCTTTTGCGCTTGTAGAGCAACCATCCAAACAGGGCATCCCACAGTTCTATTTGTCTCGTCAGCCATGTCGCTGTGGCGTCCGACCGCGGCCTCTGCAGCATCGGGAAGCTTCCTTGGCGTCGCGCCGACTGCAGAGGGTCGCCGGTCTGCCCCACCTCCATCGGGGCTGGATGCTGTCCCAGGCTACTCGTACTGTTAGTCAGTCTGTTTGTGGTAAGAGTTCGAGAGTGCTGAAGAGGGCATCCTTTGCGAGGAGAGGGCCGGCAAGGCGGTCTAGATGCCCCTGTCTCGCCGATGTCGCCCACGGCGATTTCGCCTCGGCATCCGCGGCTCGGGAAGTATCATCATTTTTGTCTAAGCATGTCTAGCCTTGATCCAGACAGTATGAAAGCATCACATGTGACATCCAAGGTTCATCATGCCCAACATGGACCCCTTGGTTAGGCAACAAGGCCAGCCACACGCGCTTTTCTAGGATGCCACTCAAACACCACCGACCCGACCGTGCGAGGTCTTGCTTTCCAGCAGTCAGAGCCGCCTGTCTCAGCTCATATGAAGCCTAGACGTACTGCCAGGAGCGTAAGGAAGCTCAGTACTCATCAGCGGAAAGCCGAGGCTTCTTCGGGAACAGTTCATGAAGTTCGCAGAGGTCGGAGCGCACTGCATGTGCACTGGTGGCCAACGTGAGTCGCCTGAGGCTTTGCAGAAGCTTCACGCGGGTCTGGAGGAGATGCGTGCGCTCCTCAGATATTCCTTGCGTCAGGCAGTGCGAAGTTTGCGGCTTTGAGGCGAGGACGTCCAAGCAGACCGGCAGCAGCGGCTCCACGAAAAGGAGAGACCTCGGCACCGTGCCGTCCACCCCGTGCGGCTGCCCTTGCATGCTGCGTTGCTTCGGAGGATTCCGTTGCAGCTGCTCTTGCATCTATTCGCAACGAGGCAAGATCGACCTGGATAGGCTTCGTCTGTCACGAGAGAGCAGCTCAAAGCCAAAGTTGGCACAAGGTCCACGAGCACACGGAAGAAAGGCTGTCGCTTCTTCACGAAGAGGCGGCCGGGTGTGAAACTTTCATCACTGGGTCGCTGCCGCTAGGCCAAAGCACACCGCTAAGCCAAACTGCTCAGAAGGCTGCTTGACACCTTGCTGCTTGCGGCTTTTTGAGATCTGCAGGTGACGATGCGCAGTCGCAGCACAGATGGGGAGCTCCAGCGGCTGAGCAGCTGCGCCGTGGCATCTTCAGTTCCGGCGGATATCAGTCTTTCCAACCCTGGGTTCTCGGAGTAGCGTCGTAGAGCATGGCAGGAAACCTTTAATAATTATCAATCTTTTTGGTAAGCGATGGCAGCAATAGTGACGGTTCGCGTCGCTAGGTATTTGGAGGGGAGTCGGAGTACCCAGGCCTAGTGCAGATCGGGGCGCAGCTCATGGCTGTGACGGAGGCGAGTTTTGCCTTCGCTGCTCGAGCTCGGACTCTGCAGACGGTGGCCCTGCCAGGATCAGCGAGTGCTGTCTGAAAATGTCCATGCGAGAATGACCGAGTTTCAGAACTCCTTCAGCAACTTGCCCTAAGACGGAGTCGGAGATCTTGTAGGAATGTAGGCCCCTGGTGGGCTGCTGCAGGTGACAGCACGGCGAGCCGGGCGATGCTCGAAGATCTGGGGGCCCAGGTGTCCAGTGGAAAATCACAACAGTGTGGGGAGACATTCTTCATACTCTGTGGTGGGCTGCACCCTACCATCGATGCTCCGTGTGTCTACATTGTTATTCCATTTCCTTGCTTTCGGTAGCAGCCGTCGGACGATTTACCAACAAGCAGTAGCCTACTTTCCGGACACCTCTTCCGCAAAGCTATAGATCCCGAGGCAACCTTGGTCTGACCAACCGGAGTTGAAAAGCTCGACTGAACGTTTGTGCAAATTGCGAAAGCTTCAAAACTGCCTCCTGGGTCACTGAGTCACGACACGGCCTTCGTAAAGTTAAAACATCAAGTGCACTCCACGCATCACGGAGAGATTTCAGTGGGATCCATCACCAGTCCCATTCAGATGCTCACATGTTAAGAGTTTCGGGGAGGGCTTGGGGATGGTTGGGGGGGGGTCACATGCAGTGAAACATGAGGCGTCAGAGGTGCGTAGCAAGTTGATAGCTCGCAGTTCTGCGAAACTGGCCGTCTCAAACATTCTCATTGCAGTCCTAGCAACGATTCAATTTCTCCTGTGACCGGTCGGTGGCAGATACAAGTAGCATGGTCATCCATGTGCCGTGTTCAACTAGACCTCAGCTCTCTATTGCGAGTTTGTTTGTAGGTCAGTATGTCGAGTTGCGAAAGCTGTTTGTAACTGATCACACGGACGAACACGCCTGTGCAACGCATCCTCGCATGTAGGCAACGCGCATCAGATCGCAGTTTCGATTGTAGCAACAACCTGACAGATGCCAGAGCAGGTCTAGTGCTCTGACAGCGCGCATCAGCAAAGCTTTCAGATGCGCATATGCGGTGCAGACTTTTCCTCACAGGTGGAGGCGAAAATCCAGGGTGCTCTGCAGACCGGCGCCGCGGCACTGCACGAGCGAGAGGCGAAGCAACGGAGTCTTAACGAGCAGCGCTCCAGTTTTCTAAGCAAGACGTCCAGGAGGTTCTCGTTGAGAAGATTGCCAACGTGCAGTCGGGAAGCCCAGGGCCGTCTTGGATCGGACAATGCAGATAAGACGAGGCACCGCAAAAGAAAGTGTAGCCTCATGAAGTTGAGGACACGGGCATGAAGCTTGAGAAAGATACTCAGGACCGAGGCTGCCTGCGAAGCGGAGCAGTGGAAGCAGCGATTCCACACCGTGGAGACTGCTTCGCAGCAGCTTTGCACGGAGATTCCCGGCCGAAAAGCATGCCGTGGAGATCTTCAGCAAGTCCTGCATCTGCGCCGGGACCATACAAGTAACTATAAGAAGTCCCTGAAGAAGATTGTAATGCCCACGGGTGATGTGTCATGAGGTCAGGGGCCCCACCATCTTGCACATGCCGTCCACGGATGTTCGAGTCCTGAGGATGGCAGCCGAGCACCAGCAAACTCGCATCTCTGCCATCGGCCTCGCCACGGAGCTGTCGGAGCTCCGGGATGCCCTCGCGAAGGCAGCTAAGGGGGGGTCTCCGCGAGTAGAAGAAACAGCCAAGGCGCCCCTGGCGCCCCTGGCGCCCCCTGGCCAGGAGTCGCAGTCCTACCAGGAGTCGACCACTTCGGTGCAGCGCTGGGTCACCGAGACCATGGCTCTACGCCAGTCCTTGCAGGAGGAGGCTACGAGTAGTGTGTAGTTTTCGGTGTTCCTGTGCTAGAGGCAGCGTCACTGGAGTCAGGAATTGGCTCATGCTGCTTTGAATGGCAAAGTGGCCGAGCATGCCGTGGAGTTGCAGCGGCAGGCCAAACAAGCAGAGCTACTGTCAACTGCTTGGGCTGATCAACGTAGATATCATCGCGGCCTGGGTTGGAGGAGTTTTTTTTTACGGCAATAAATCCCTCATGGGCGCTTGGGGCCTGGGCTCGAGGGTCGGCACCTTTCACGCGAGCGGGGGCTGTTCTGCAGAGTTGCAGAGGTGGTGATGTCAAAGGGCCTGGCGAATGCAGCCGCCGAGTTCAAAACCGGCAAAGAGGAGCTTTGGCCACGCCGCTGCAGCTGGTGCATGACGGTGCATGTTTCTGTTCGACATGAGCATAGTAGTAATGACAGAGCAGGCGATGCGTATAGTGAGTTTAGATGGCTCCAGTTACAACTGCTTTCAGCATGCGCATTAAGACCCGCGAGTTTGAGATGTTTTCGAGGCAAGTCGTCACATCCGCGCAAGAGAACAACGAGCAGACAATGAAGGCCCGTATGGTCATGTGAGTCACTCCGTGAGTCATGTGTGATCACGACTCCGGAAGTTTGCTGACCAAGGACATCCAGGAGCTGCGGCTTCGCACTCAGCACATGGAGGTGCAGAGGTTTGGGCAGGCCTGGGTCCTGGGAGCACCGCAGCATGTCACCAGCTCCATCGAATCGATGGTGCAGGTGTCGAGGCAGATAGAGGAGAGCCTTGGCTTTTCCTTCGTGTGCCTGAGTCCTTGCATGCCCCGAGACTCCGAGAGCTTCAGATCAGGTTGACTGTGCAGCATTCGGCTGCCTCCTCGAAGATCGAGGAGATCGAACAGTCCAACAACCACGGCCAGAAAGCATTTGCCTCCAAGCTTGACAGCCATGCCCAAAGCCTGCTGCTCCTGGCTGCAACTATCTTTGGAGCATGGCAGGTGGTACTGGGAGGAGGAGCGTCCGCTGCGAAACGAGAGCCCAGCAGCCCAGGCAGGCACAGCAGGAGATCAAGCACCTGGCGGAGCAAAGTTCCCAACACGACTTCATCGAGAGCCGCGACCAGCAGTCACTGACCTGCACGAGCCGAAGCATACACAGCTTCTAGGATGCTTGAATCGAAGTGCATTGCCTTGCTCAACTGGCGAGGTATCGGCTTTACGTAACGATGGATGGGGACATTGGCATTTTCCGGCGAAGTGGCTGGGGCAAGCACGGACCTCCATGTGCAAGAATTGCACTGCAGAGAAACCTTTGAGATCTGCTGAGATTCACCGGCATCCACGCCTTTGCAACTGCAGGAGGAGGCGACTTTGCCGCGGTGCCCAGGTGGCATGCCGGAGCCACTGGGGACAAGGCACTCTGCTCCGTCAACAGCGACTGGGATGGAAGTGGCGTTGTAATTAGGTCCGATTCACTTGGTACTGCAGTGCCACATATTGCTACTGCTACATGACAGAGGTATCTTCAATGCCATGGCCATGATTTCTCTCATGATCACCGTGGTTCTAAATAGCTTTCGGTTCTGTGAGCTTGCACCTCAGGAGAAACGCAGGCTTACGAGAAGGACCGCTTTCTCGCCATGGCGAATCGCTTTGACAGCCAGCGCTAGCTGAGAGCTGTGTTCCAAGCAGCTTTAACGGAAGGGCTGTGTTTCAGTCTGTCCGGAGACTTACCTGAGAGCGTAGGGTCTGCAGCCGGAAAGGACGGGTGGATGTCGAGAGTGGGACCGGCCAAAACGGCTGGTCTCCAAAGCCGAAATGCTTCTCCAAAGCTGGGCAGGAAATGACCTCACCCGTCTTGGACAGGCTGCACCTGGTGCCCTGCTTTGTCCAACTTGATGCCGGATGTTGGCTGGGTGGGTGACTGCTTCAAAAGCAGGACAAAAAACTGGTGCAAATTAAAGAGGAATAGAGGTCATGCATGAGCTAAAGGCTCTCAGTACCTCATGGCTTTGCTCCTGGCGCCTCACTCCGTGGTACACGATGCAGGGCGGCAGTGCAAAAATGAAGCCCCACTGCCTCGAATCGTTGAAGATTCCTGAAATTTCAGAAACCTGGTCAACAGCCGCGCCAGAGGCCCACGGATTTTATCGTGGCCGAAAACGAGGAGGTGTACTTGGATGAGGCTGGATCAGAGCCGCATGTCCTTGTGGCGGGGCTGGGTGACCAATGAGGAACGCGAAGTGCATGCCATAGGCAATGATTTGGGGCGCAGCTGGGAGATCGAGGTTTCATTAAGGATACGGCTAGCTAGACAATCGAAGATGGTCGATGTGGCAGCAATCGGTGCCGAATGTGAGCTAGGCATAGACGGACATTCTGGACCGATCAGCTTGAAGTTGCATTCCTTCACCTCTTGCCACAAGTCGTGACTCGGTAGACTGAAACCAGGCCGTGCGATGTTCCCGGCGGCCAGGCAACCTCTGACACTGCGCGCATGGCTTGCGGTCCCTCAACCATCAAACGGCCGCCTACTACGGGTATCGCCTCAAAGCGGCTGGAGGCCAAGGCCAAAGCGGCTTCTTCGAGCTTCGGCTGCCTCGGCCGCAGCCGAGCTCCCCTTGCGGAAACGCTGGCCTTGGTCCAGTTTCCGCGGAGAGCCCGCGGCGCACGTGCTCTCTGCCCTGGTCGCTTGGTCGGCTTACACGACGCTGCGGGGTCGAAGGACCTTCTGTTTCACCGCCGTCCTGGTTTCGCGACTGGCTCTCTTGCTGAACTCCGTGATGTTTGCCTCACTCGGGCGGCAAGCCGATGGCCTCATGGGGCCAGATGGAATCTCTCCGCTTGTGTCGAGCACTGATGCGGAACAAGGCCCGAGCTGGTGGGACAGTCTGCTTCTAAGGCACTTGCAATGTGCAAGACCTAGCCACACCGCTCGTTTGTGTGCGATCGCGGCGATTCTTTCCTGCTTCTTGCCGGTGTGTGCCGTGAGCGGCCTGGCCGTCGGACTTATCCTCGTGTGGCTGTCGGTGGTGTACCGTGGCTACATGCAGGTGGACTTCTTGCACTACCAGTGGGATGCCTTGGCACTTGAACTTAGTGCCTTGGCAGCCGTTGCTGCCATGGCAAGCATCCCTCGCTCCTGTGTTGTGAGGGAGGGCTGTGCCGCTCTCTCGATGCACTGCTTTGCTCTCCTTGGCTTTAAGCTGATGTGGGGCTCCTGTCTTTGTAAGCTATTCTCCAATTGCCCCGAATGGAATTTTGGAACGGCCATGGATCACCATCATCGCACTACCTGCTTGCCAAAGCCTTTCGCCCGCACGCTGCATCGCTGGAGCCGGAGCTCTCCTCGCTTCTCCCAAGCGCAGGCAAAGGCCACACTTTGGTCCGAGGGCCCGTTCTCCTTCCTGGCACTGCTCGGCTGGCCCTGGGGCCGGATCCTTTGTGCGCTGCTCTGGTGTCTCTTGATGCTCACCATTGCGGCTTCCGGGAATTATGGCGTCTTGCCTGCAACTCACTATCAGTGTAGCCTTCTCATCTGCAGGGTCAGGGGATTATCTCAATACCACGCTTGCTCAGAGACTCGCCGTGACGACTGGAATGCGTGATTGGAGTTCAGGCCTTCTCACAGCGATGATAAGTCCCCCCTGGTCTCCAGAGCCAGGATTTGGACTCGAGCATACTGTGAGAACTTATCTGCTCGAAATGTTGGGAGAGAGCTATACAGTCATACATGTCATACACCATTAATTACCATTACATACCTTTTCTGGGTGTAACACACAGTATCTGCTCTTCCTCTCCAGGCTTCTTCAACTTGCAGACCTGTGTGATCGCAGCGGCGCTCCTGGACGACAGCCAATGGGGACGTGTCGTCCGCTACCCTGCCCGGCCCGACCTGCCAATGGCTCTGCCTGGGTGGTTTGCACTTGATGGCATCCCGTGGGCGCTGACTTTCTGCTATTGGGCCCTGTACAGTGCAGCGACTGTGTCGGCCATCTACCGTATCAGCCGTGTGCGGCCCCCGGTGCTCTTTCGACAAGCCGAGGAGCTTCTGTCGTCGGCCCAGCTGGCTTGTCGATACGGCCTGTTCGCAAGGATGACGACCACCAGAGATGAAGTGGTGATACGAGAACTGCACCAGCTGCCCCAAGATTTGGGTCAACTGGCCATCAAGGACGGGCTGGCGATCAAGTCCGACGGCAATACGTATTGGGTGGAACTGGTCTTCCCGTATAAGCCCGGCCCTTTAAGTCGTCCCCCACCCGTCCTCTTCGCACACATGCCGCGGTTGGATTGGCAACTTTGGTTTGTCTCGCTGCAGTGGGCGCAGAGTTCCGATACCCCGCCCTGGTTTCAACACTTCCTGCAGTGCCTGCGAGAGCGACGCCGGAGCGTTGTTGGGTTGGTGGAGCACAGATCACAGCACCCCGTGCAGGAGCTTATCCTGCTTCAGACGCCCCAAGCGACACATGTCAGTTTCGAAGATTACGAATTTTGCGTGCCCAGCAAAGAAGTTGGCATCACAAAGACTGATGGCAGCTGGGAGTGTGGAGAGTGGTGGTGCCGGAGATCCGAAGCGCCCACCTCCAGCCCGTTTCAGAAACTGGGAGACTGGACTGCCTGGTTCTCATAGGGCGAGCCGTCTTCGAAGGTCCAACGGAAGGTTATGGCCATAAAGGTAGAAAGGTCCACTCCTTGACAGATGACTCCACATTCCGGCAGTTTCGGGATCTTGGAGGTACGCATAGTGTTGCATGATCTTCAGGTGTCCGGCACTGCACTAAACAACCGTGGCTTGAAGTGCGATACTCTACATAAGGTGTAGCTGGCCTTAGAGCGCCCAAATAGGACGCAGGTCAACATGACAGATCGAAAATCGCCTTTGTTCATTGGTCGCTTTCCGAAAGCGACGGCTTTTGACATCGAAATTCCGTAAGCTAGAAAATCGATTGAGAAGAACACAAGCGGTGGAGCTATGGGAGATAGTGACACGTAGAATGACAAAGGACCGACATGCATGTTTCGTGCCTGTGACTGCAGCCAGAAAGGTAGTTGCTGGCCCGACAATCTTTCCTCACCCGTGCCGCGTACTGTATAACAGTTGAGCGTGAGTCCTAATAACCCTTTCTTTCTGCCTGCCTTCTTATCAAGAAGTAGAATTTTACTCGTTCCCAGCGAAGCCGCCCGCTACACCGCCCTCACCGCCCCCACTACCCCCATCTAGCGCCACCGCCCTCCCAAGCCACCCGCGACACCGCCCCCCCCTCGCTTCAGCGACTCCACCGCTAACAGCTGCTTGATTTTCCATGTGGGTTGGAGGCTCCCATTCCGAATTTGCAATCCTTGGAGCTGATCTCGGAGAAGGCCCGAAGCCATTTCATTGTACCAGCGTGTGTGCTGGTGCCACTTCTGACAGGAGCCGGTTCCCGAGTCCAAGGACGTCGTACTGGACGAGGACCCCTTGTATGTGGTCGGCTTCTAGAAGTAGAGGCGGAAAGAGGTGCCTTTGATTCTTCAATGCAGGCACCAGTGCCCGTCGGAGCACACGTTCGGCTGTGGCGACATCTGAAGCACTCATGGAACCTCTTGCAGACGCATGTGGGCTTGATTTCCCGAAAGAGCCCGGGGCCTGGCTGCAGCTCGAAAGGGCGCGTGATCTATTCCAAGATGCAATCGCCAGGCGTGCCGGATCCTGCCATTTTGATTGTGGGCCGCCTCCCCAGATGACGATCGATCATGCTACGAACGCAAGCTCAGCACGTCCAGCATGTAGTGCAAAGCTGTTGGCGCCCCAGGCCTCCTGACTACGATCATCGCGCTGACGTTGGCGATGGCATAAGACTTGGACTCTTCAAGCATTGGCAACAGCAAAGGAAGACGCAGCAGCAGCACTTCATGTATGCAGCCTAATTGTAGTTTTTCTGGGCTCTTTCCTTTCAGTTCTGTGAGGGTCCCTGTGCTGCAGTCGTGCACACTGAATAGAGACATGGCCATAGCGTTGCGATGCAAAGCCGTCAGCTGGAAACACCGGCCGGCTTCCATCTACGCTCTTCCCATGATTTCACGCGTTGTGCGAACTTATGGAATCGCTATGCATGTACTACTTCTTAGTAGTTACCCGGTATAGTTGATGGTGCCTTCAGGCGTTTTGCAGCGCCGCGAGCTGTCCTCAGCTGTACACTGTCTTGAACCAATGACGTGTCCCAGTGAGCAGCTGCACTGGATATGCAGTGCTGGATTATCCCGAGCTTTCGGCGACTCAGGCCGGTCCCACGTCCAAAGGTGGAGGAAACCAAGCGACCAGTGACGCGCTGTCCCGCCAAGCGCTCGGAAGCTCCGGCGGCGGTGATTTCACTGATCGAGCATTCGTACACGCATGGGTATTGTACCAGGCTGGCACATCGCACGGATTTCGGACACACGGCACACGGGACACACGGCACACGGTGCGGATTCTTTACAGCTAAGGCGCCGACAGCTGAACAGCTGACCTCGGCCGCATTCTCAAGAGCTTCTCCCTGCAGTTGTTTGGCGGAAGAGAAGGGGAAGAAGAGGGAGCGGTGGTGCTGCCGGAAAGGAGTCGCATGTCTCGGGGCATCCTGCTTTTGAGGCGGGGCGCCGGGCAGCGCCGGCTCGCGCAGGACCTGACCCAGGCATGATGTGCAGTCTCTGAAAATCTGGGCTCCGAGCTGCGTGTGGCCAGGTGTCCGAATCGAAGGGCTCGGGCCTCGTGAGCTGACACCAGTAGCGGCTTTGCCTTTGCTCAAAGCGGGCTTTGACGAAGTGGATTCCGATGGGCCAGGCCGTATCCGCCTCCTGGCACTGCACAGCCATACAGTCAAGTGCTCAGAATACTGTTCGTCTCTGGCGGGCCTTCCTACGCCCCAACGCAGCCGCTCGTATCGTCGAAGAGCTTAGGGAACAGGCCACTGCACGCAGCAAGGTCCTTTGCAGCGTTGTCGAAACCGGCAAAGATGCAGTGATTGGAATGTGCCGCCTGGGCATCTTGAACCGAGCTCGAGGTTCTGTGTCAGTACGCGCAGCCTCGGCCACATCCTTGCCACCGCCGAAACGGCCAAGCCACGTCGGAGGCCGCGGGCCCAGAGAAAGCGGCGTCCATACCATGAGACTTTCCGACAGGTGAGGCTGGAGCTATGTTTAGCTGGTCTCCGCGATCCTCAGACGAGGAGGACACTCTGTGTCCATGCCTTGCTCGCTCCTCGGCCTCGGGCGATGCGGCTTCGAGAAATTCGTGTTTCGGAGTCTGCCACAGGTCGTCCCGGACGGGATGGAATTCGTCTTTGCAGTGCGAGAGGCCGGCACGACAGAATCCTTGTGAGAGGAAGCGATTAAGGGGAAGTGAGGTACTTAATGACGAAAGGCAGGAGCCGCCGGACTCAGCTGAACCCAGCTGAACCTCCTTTGCAGAGTCGAGTTCTGCGGACTGCCGAGGCTTTCCTTCAGCGTGGTGGATTTGGAGGGATCTCCGCTCAGCGTCGGCCTCGGACACCAGTCGGACCCTCCGACCCTCCCCCAGCCTCACTGAAGCCGTTGCGCCGAGGCCACATCATCGTGAACGAGTCCGGCTCCGGGTGTGCAGCCCAAGGGTGGTGAGATGGCATGAGGCTGTTTGCGGCGGATTTCTCGGGTTCGAAATTGCCAGGCCGCAGTGCGGCATTTTTCTCCAGATGTTGGACAGGGAGCCTTTGGCTTCGGTTCGCCATGCCCTTAGACCGATACTGGTGCAAATCAGACAGTTATGCGTGCACTCTTGCGCCAAGGCACGGACATGCTCTTCGACAGGGCTGGTCGCCTTCCTGAAATCTTGCTGCCTTCTGGAGAGGCCATTATGGTCATTGCATGTTCGCAAGAACCTGGAGGTAGCTGTAAAAAAACACTATGCTAGCTCTGGGCAAACGTGCGGTGGCTGTGCTGCGATTCGGCCCACAGTCTGTTCGACTGGGACCTACTTGTCGAGGAATAGATGGGCGAGAGGCAACAGAGCTATTGCAGCGAGAAAGTGCGACTACATGCAAGAACGAAAATTGAACAGCAAACGATTCGTCCCGGTGGTGTCTCAAGCCTGGGTTGCAGCCGCTCTCGAGGTCGCAGGTCGCAATCACTCCGGACAATAAAGCCTGTGGGCTAGTCAGAAAAGGAGAACCGATGAGGTAAACGCCTGCATCTGGTGGTGTCCCGCTTTGACGAGTGATGCAGTTGAAGAAACGGGATGCGACTTGCAACGTAGCTCGGTGCTGAAACATGGACTAACTTAATGGTACACGGAAATGCACTTCCAAGCACTTTCGAGTAGCCAGACCTTCATACTCAAGCGAGCGCAGACAATGTGTCTCTGACGACATCTTGTAGTGATGGCAGAGATAGTCCCAGTTTCTTGGCTCGCTAGCGTTTGGAACCTCAGTCAGCAGAACTGAGCTTCAGAGCGTGGGCGGACTTGCTGGCTGACATGGCTGCAACAAAGCGTGTTTTTGTTAAGACGACTCGAAGCTCATGCCCGGAGAGATACTTGGCAGTGCGGGCAGCGTAGAGGGGCAGAATTGTTGCAGATACCGTATTGAGAATCAGAAAGTAACCGACGATGCCTTGGCGAGGTGTTTTGTGCCATGGAACGGGATGGAAGCCTGGTGCTGAGGGCTGGCAGAGGCCTTAGGAGAGAGGCGGCCTCATGCCATGTCTGAGGCCGAGAGTATGTGCTGCGTGATCAGCGCAAGCAGCGGCTCCTCCGTCTCCAAGGACGGGCTCAGGAAAACAGCCCAAGACCGATCGCTCAGCTCAGGGCTCATTTGCTTTTCTTTTCGAGGCAACTTCCGGGATAAAGCCGTCAAGGTGATCAATGCGTGAGGTTCCCAGGGCCAGACTGGCGCTGCAGCCGACTTCAGACATCCCAAGGGCGCCCCTTCAGACATCCCCCTCTGGGCCCCAGAGCTGCAAGCTGAAAAACGACCCGGATGAGGTCTGGGCAGCTCGTGGCTCTCAGCGAGCGTTGTGTCATTGCCTTCGATGGCGGCTCTCACTACCAGGCGCGATTCGTAACTACTCGTAGTAGTGACAACTAATGATTGTGATGCACATTATTCCAGGTGCGGGTTGCTCCTCATGCAGATGCTGGCTTAGTTCTGTGCAGGCCACCAGCCTCTGTTGTTGTAAGAAGCTGACAAGCCGTTGATCAAGTGAGCACTGTGCCGCAGCTTACTCGCGGTGGACAAGATAGAGGGAGGTCGGCTTCGCTGACACTCCAGCTCACCGTCGAGCTCCCAGTTTGCGTAACGCGCTTGATCTGCTTGGTAGTGCTGGGGGCTTGAGTCCTGCAGCAAATCGTCAGGAGCTGGTTGGAATTCAAGCGGGCCTGGCTGCCTTGCCGGCATCATGCAAAGAAGAAGGTCCGGCAGTAGCTGCCTTGGCCCATGTCGGAAGCTGATGCCTTCATATCGCAGCAGGGACAACAGTTTTTGACATCAGCTTCCGAAGCTGTTGCACGACCGGCACGAGCAAATGTCAGCAACGGCCGAACGGTGCAGATGGACGCAGTAGGTTGCTTTTGGTGCAGGCGAACCACACCTGCACATACGAATTGCGAATTCATATAATTGGAAGGGCCTAGCCACTCAAGGCTCCACGTAGATAGCCCCGACAAATCCAATTCAGAAGTCGGATCGGCGTAGCCTTGTATGGCATGGTCCTTCGTGCAACAAGCGCATGCAAAGCATCTCTTGTTTGTGCCAGTGGCGGCACATATTTTGAAACAGCTTTCAGGATTTTTGCTCTCCAGAGAAGGGCTTTTGGCGTTAAGCACACGCAAGAGGACTCGCACATGCAGACGGGATGTGTTATGGGTCTGGTCAAATCACACAGTTGGCGTAGGCCACGACGTAACGGCCAGCAAAGCTGAGAGGTCGACGCACCAGCGACGGCCTCGTACAGAGATGGTGGATGACTGGCCCGGTGGCGGGCATCCAGCTTTCAACCCACTGCCAACGAGGATTTTTATAGATGGGCACTAGCTGTCTCGGAGGCAGGCTTGAAGTGGAACATGGAGCAGACACTGCAGGTACTTAGGGCTTCGTCTTGGCGATCTTAGCGACAAGCTCTTGCCCCCCTCGTCTCTGCCACAAGAGTGCAAGAGCACAGGAGGTCATCGCCCAACTCGCATAAAGATGTGCGGCCTTTGATTTCATGGGGGCGGGGTGCAGGCGGTGCCATGTGCATGGGGAGTGCCCACTTGTCCTCTGGGATCGAACCATAGGGGCTCGTGGTGCAACAGAAGTTCGCCGGGAGCCCACCCGCACTCCGCGTCACCCGTGGATATATGATATAGGAATGCTGAAGCCAGGCCATGGTCTCGAGCACCACGTACTTGCCGCCAATTCCAGTTGGGCCGCTCGCAGCAGACGCTAAAGGCCCCGACAGGCTGCATTGCCCAGGAACTTTTCAACGTGCCCCTGCTGCGAGCGAGGTGCTGATGCAGGCGGTGGCACTCCAGCACCACAACTAGAAGGTGGAGCTCCAAAGAAAGAGACCCCCCAAAGCAAGGGGAACACCTCTTCTTGCCAGGACGTCAGAAGCAAAAGCTCGGGCTTACACAGCCTCATGCGCCCTGGCCGTTGCGCCCGTTGTCCGAGCGATTCAATCAGTTCCGCTGGCGGAGGTACTTTCAACGAGCTGGAGCAGCCACTTCAGCTGGAACAGAAGAGAGCCTCACAAGAACGAGTGAGTGAGAAGTGAGTCTATCTGATGGTTTGATAGTCTTGCAATCATACCACGGCTGCAGCTTCAGGTGTCGCCAGAATCGTAAACAAGACCGAAGCCAGAAAGAAGAAGGAAGGACAGATGGGGCAAACAACGCGTGCCCAAGCCCAGAGTCTGGAACTCAACGCCGAGACGCGTCGCAAGTCTTCAGATCGGCAAACCGCTTGGAGATCCCAGGCTCTCGCAAGGCGAGGAGGGCAGCCTCGCAGGCTCGGCTTCCCGTGAAGGAGCAGCCGATGCCAGCGAAAAGCGCCTTGGCTCAGTAGGCTTCTGGCACCCGCTTGACTTGCAGCTTGCAATCTACAAGCATTGTCAAATTGGAAAGCAAGCTACCAACAGGTGTAGCAGCAGAAATTCGATCGTGTCATGACGAGGCAGCAGCACCCCTGTGCTTCCCAAACTGAAGCTGGACTCAGAAAGTTTGGAAAAGGAGGCAGGAAAGCGAATATTGGAAGAGGAGGCTCGCATGTTAAGATGGAGCGAGACTACATGCTTGTCCGCAGTTGGGGCACGCGGGTTGCGAGTTTCCTTCCTGCCAGGCTGCGCAGCCTCCAACGCCTCCAGAAAATACAAAGCCTGAAGATTCCGCAGGCTCCCGGGAGAAGTAAGCTGCTCACTGCAGTATTTGTAGTCTTCAAGGCATAGTGGGCCTCTACACTGACTGCTGACCGGAAAACGCCCCCCCCTTTCCCCCGGGCACCCGTCAGGCCTTGGCAACACAGATCTGCCTGCAGCAGATGCAGACATTGCAGTTTCCGGCTCAGGCTCCGCTCCGTGGGTCAGAAGATCTAGATTGCTCTTACCAAGATATCGACCACACTGATGGAAGATGATGCACAGTTGCACGTTTCTGTGTCGAAGTTGATTCTTGTCGTTCCCTGCTCCTGCCTTTCTTGTTGTTCGTCGCTTCATTATGCTTCGTTATCATTGTGATGCACTTGCTGGGCAGGGCTGGAGACCAAAGCTGCATCAGAGGCCGCGACATGCGCTTTGCAACTTTCCAAGCCCACAAAGCGTTGAGCCTAGAGTCAAGAGTCCCTGCTACAGGATCATGAGGCCGAGGCTGAGGTCCTCGAGCAGCCGCGCCTTGTCTGTTTTCTTCCTGGGCCCTCCCTCTGTTCGCTACCAGCAGGCTAAGGACACGTCATTGAGAGTTTTCGCGAAGCTGAGGCAGACGGACAGCATACTCGTCGCACCCTGGAAGCGTGGCCTGTCCAAGAAGGCGCCAAAAGCCCGATGTGATGCTGGAAACATGGCTGGAGACTGCCACAAAGCTCCGCATTTTTAGGAGGTCAAGTCCCTTCTCATAGCTAATCTTTCATCCTCCTCAGGGCCTCGTCAGAGCTTGACAGCCGTTCCGGCGAATATTTCAGTCAAACTCATGAACACGATGAGTGCACTTCCGATGACGGGGTAACCTTGTTTTGCCCGATTGCGAGAGCTCAGACAGCACAGAGGGGGAGAGTCAGACCCAAGCGGGGAGAGGCACAGCAGTGGGGGGGGGGGATTGTCATGTCGTGACAATCTGGTGTCTGGAGTTGGGGAACCGGGATTGCTTGCACACGTCGAATCCCACGCCGTCTCACGCAGACGGACGGAATCAAGAAAGTGTCCCCTACAGGAGTTCGCCCCTACCCTACGCCACACGAAGAAAGTACTGAAGCTTTGCTTGTGCTGAGGCGAGAACGGATCGCTGGTGGAGTGTTCAGAGTTCATCGGGCGAGTTCGGAGTCGGGAGTCTTCGCGGTTCTCGAGTGTCGCCGAAGGGCATGCGCGGCCGGGCCCAGCCGTCCACTCGTTGGAAGGAAGGAAGATACTCAATGGATGGGCCCTGGGCGGATAGTGGATGGTTGTGCTTGCTATGCTTGCGTGCCTGCAGGGAACCAAAAGCTTCAAGAGGTCGCAGCCTTACGAGATTCCATGAGTTTGGGATACGTCGGTTGACGATGACTGCACGCGGGCTCCAACTTACAGCCATCCTCCCTCGCAGAATGGATAGCCACTTGATCTTTGAACCGCGGGACACCGAACAGGAAGGCGCTGGAGCTTATGATGCAGGATGCTTTTTTGGTTCCCATGTGATTTGCTTAAACTTGCCTTGAAATGGTTTAGCTGCGCCCGATCGCAGCTGCGCCGCAAGAAGCTGACGCACAAGGAGATGACTTGCCAGCGCCGGAGCTCCTAAACTTCAACAGAATTCCTGCCGTGTGCTGGGTGGGTGGGAAAGACTAGCTGAATTGCTGGACCCGGACATTGCCGCAGAAAGCAGTCCATGCAGTCCCGAAGTCTCAGGCAAAGCGAGGGCCTGGAGGCATCTCCACTCTCGCCCGACGCTGATGCAGGCTGATCGGGGACGGGGCAGTTCTGACGGCTTTCGGCTTTCAACGGCGGGCCTGTTCAGGTGCCAAATCGTCGAGACGCAGCTCAGGGTGGCTTGAAGTTCCAGAGGGCCAAGCTGTAGTTGCCGTGGCGTGGGGAGTGTGCCCTGTGAGGTCGCAGTCCAGCGAGCTGGACGACTTTGGCAGCGGCACGCACTCCATGAACAAAGGATGGTCAAAGGCAAAGCAGGCGCGGGCTCCACTTGCATCGTCAGTTAAAAGCTCCTTGAGCAGGCTGCTGAGGTCTGCTCTCGTTGCTTCAAAGCTCCCAAGGCCGCACGCCTCGCCGCCACCCTTCGGCCGGAGAACATGCTGGATACAGTTCAGCAGTGGCGACACCCCGCTTCTTTTAGACGCTGCGCGCTCTGGCCGGCGGCATGCATTTCTCTACCGTTCAGAGTTTAGACATGGCCGAAATACCGAGCATCGGGTGCAAGGAAAATGGTGTCGAAAGACAGTGCCATGGCTGCACGCAGAGCTTCAAGAAGTTGGAAGTGTCATTTGGGGTCTATGGACTCTTCTGCAGCGCGTAAGTATGACGTTTAGCTGGTTGATTGAATCTGGCCGCATATCATTCGTTGAGTTGATCGGCATCATCCATTTTACGAGTAGCAAGCCGAGGACCAAGTCTTCGATGCTGCACCGCAAACTTCCTCTTGGAGGGGAGCTGAAGCAACGGCGCAGCCTGGACGGACAATTGCGGGGTCTTCGAGCACTTCAGACCTGGGTAGCTGGGAACTCGCATCCAAGGAGATCAATCAGGGACCTGGACGAGGAGCTAAGTGTAGACAAGGATCGACTGCGCCTGATGATACAACAGGGCGCGGCTTCCCCAGTATAGTCCGCTGACATGGACCACATTAAACTTACAGAGAGTCAGTCGTCCGGAGAGCCGCTGGAGGTTCACAGGTCCAAGAACGGCTTGAAGCTCACGGCAAGGAACCCAGGTCGCACACCGCTGCTCCTTCGAACTTCGAACTTGGCCTCTGCGACCCCTCCCAAGGTCAGGCACGTCCAACCTGATATCGACAGAGAAACTCTCTGGAGAAACCGGAGGGAAACCTTGGAAAGAGTGGACACGCATGGCAAACGCATTCAGCAGGACCGAGCCTGAGCTGCTGAGACCAAGCCCATTCTGTTCCGAGAGCAATCTTGACACGCAAGCTGTTGAGGCACTTCAGGATTCCTTGCGGGCACGCAAAGATCTTCGAACTTGCGTGGCATGCTCACACTTGAACTTGTCATGCTAGCTAGACTGCAGCTCAGCTCAATCTACCCAGCCGATTGATCCGTTTGGAGGTTCAACTGCTCAAGGAAACGATGACAGAAAAGCCCGACACTGACAAGAAGAAGCCGCGTGTGGCATCCAAGGCCCCGTATGAGGATGCTGGTTGATCATGTTTTCACTTGAAGCCACAGTGCGAAGCTAATGGATTGATCGAGCAGCAAAGTCTTCTGTCCAGGAGCGCAAATGTTCATGGTCTTCCGGCCGCCTCGATACCATCAAGAAGAAGCTGGACTGGATGATAGGGCACAACATACTGTAGTCGCAGGATGCGCTGTAGCAGCTGCTGGTGTTTTGAGCTGACCGGCTTGGCAGGAAGAGTATATCCGCACTGGCTCTCTCAGCGACTACGAGGCTCTGTGTTCGCAGTTCCATAGTGGCACTGGAGGGCACCGGCCTCAAAACTAAGGAGGACCGAGATGAGGCTACCAAGAATCGCAAGTCGCTCATCACATGAATATCCTACGTCCATGTGGGAAAGCCTAGTAGATGTGAATCGGAACCTCGTGGTTGCATCGATTGCACTTCACTCGTTTGGGACGAGAGGTTGAGTCCAATTGAGAGTGTTGAGGTAACTCGTGCCAGTTAGTGAAGTGCAACCCGATGTCTCACCCTCGGAGACTGGCACTGACCAGTGCCACAGCATTTATTCTTCGACCGGGTGCTTCACCCGTATGTGGAGACCAAATTTTGGGCTCGAGCCCCGAGCCACGAACCAGATCGGGAGCTGATCACAGTTCCAGGACCTGATTATTTAGTCGATGAAGCCAACACTCCGAAGGAGCTGGCACTTGGATTTTGGATTTTGCGGATGTAAAGACTGGTGACTGGTACAGCTGCGTGATCTCATGCCTGCTGCACACTGAAGCTAGGCATGCTTGAGTGAGGATTGCGGCTGCGGTGCGGTGCTATTTACAGCTGATGTAAAGCACAACAGCCAGTAAGCACAATGAGTGTGCCACGGGAGCATGTGGAGCCTATAGTGATGCCCTAACACTGCCACGTTTGGTTCGTGAGTTCGCTGTGCGCGGCCAATGTTGTTGTTTAAAGTAAGAACTGGCAAGTGCCCGGTCCACTACAGTCCGCCACAGCAATGGGCCGACGAGGCAAAGCCGCAAGGCTTGCCTGCGCCAGCCTGGCATTGCTGGCACGGGCCTAAGCAGGTCCGACTTGTCTAACCCTGACCTGCGAGCTCGTCGTAGGAGGCAAGCAACAACGCCAGGGCTCGGCAATGCTCGTATCTCCAGGAAGCGACCCTTGCACATCGAGGTTGTGGCGCCACTTGCCCTTGAACATGTGCGGGCCTGGACGCTGGCTGCAACCCTAGCGAGTCTGGCGAGTCTGCCGCTTCGAGGTTTTTTCCGCCTTTCTCTTCAGGAGGCTGCCAAAGTCCACCTCGAGGAGGCGGAGGAGGAGATCTCCAGTGCAACCCAAGAGCTCACCAAGGAGTGTCCACGAGCCAGGAACAGATTGAACAGTCCTCTGACCTCTGACGCCGAAGCTGATTTTAGGAGCGAGTGACACCGGAAAGTGTCTCCGTGTGGATGAAGGCTTGACGCACCGGAAGACCAGGACTGGGCTTGACTTTACGCTTGGTTTTAGAAAGGTGGTCGGATCGGAGCTGTTACGCGGAGCAGCCGTGGTGGCATTGCCTGTGGGTGCCTTGGTTTCCTGGACTCGACTGCTGCTTTGATAGGCCAAAGATGCCTGATTTGCATTGATGCTGCGGCATGGCTCTACTTACTTTACCAGTTCAGGCCCGGATGTCGTTGCAGGGTACTTCGGCAGCGCCTGCCATGCTTGTGAACAGCTACGGCTTTGCGTTGCAAAAGAATCGAAGCATTTCGTGTGTTTTTTCTCGCGCCAGGCAGCCCTGCTGCTTCCATTGTCGGCCACCTTGATGCGACATGCCCGCACTGCTCCGAATAGCACAATTTCGCAAGCATGTCCGGACCTTACGGACTCAACATGGATGACTAAAGTGTAAGACTGCCCGCCTCCAAGCCGCGTGTTGCGACATCTGAAACTGAGGTCAGCTACTTGAGGCCTCAACGGTTGGAGTTTCGATTTTCAGAGTGCCGAAGAGCTTGGACGTGAGGGCATGTGCCACAGTGGCACGATATTGCAGGTGCAGTTTCCATGCCCAGAGATGCTGGTGGTGGATTCCGATCGGGCCGGGCGCCACCCCCACGACACACAATCTGCGATCCAAGAAATGCGTGAGAGCCTGTCAAACAAGCTAATGCGCGTAGTTCTCAGATTTTCTGTTGTCACAGGTGGGACTTCAGACTCTCCCCTTGCTGCCTCCACGGCGCCAGTGGGCCGTGTTTGTCAGCCGTTTGCGTCTCAGAACCGGGAAGATACAGTGTGAGGGAGAGCCAGGGCCATGGCATGCCATCGGGCCTTGCGGGCCTTGGGGCGTGTGCCCGATGGAAGGCGCTCTGATGGACACAGCCAGCCAAGCTCAGCTCCTGGCTCTGCTGCTGCGGGAGGCCTTTGATATGCTTTGATTTCGCAGAATTCGATAATTGCCACTGAATGATGCACCGGGTTGAATTGTACTTGCAGGTGTTCTTGCTCTCCACTATTCGTGCCCTCTTTTTGAACAAAGCTGTTTTCAGGTTGTAGGTTTGTTGGCTATCCTGCGACTTTGGGGAAAGTCTTTCGGAAGCATACGGCCGATAGTCAATATCCTCATGCGTTGCCAAGTCTTGAAGAACATTCTCGCAGGCGTCACTTTAGTACCCGTGGATCCCAGGAAGACATACAAGATGAACAGTGCAGGAAACGAATGCCCCCATTCCCCTGAAGGGTGTTGACAAAGGCTGTCTAGCCTGGCGGATCTGCATCTGCAGTGCTTGGCAACCGAGTCCAGACTGAGACATAAGTTCTGTAGACTCTGCTTTGTGCTGCAGCTGTCTGCACAGGTTCAGGTCGATGAACTGGCGTTTCCGTTCTCGATCTAGATACCCATCATGGGGTCTGTCGGGTCACACATCTGCTGCTTTCTACGCCGGGCATGCGATCCGGAGCAGCGTGTTGAGATGCGATCCTTGGCAGCCCAACCTGTCCCAGCGACGCCACAGCCACCGACAGGATATACGCCATATGCGGGCCCAGGGCAGGTGGCTACTGGAGTTGCGATTGCGACATCCATAGCCTATGCATCGGCTGCACCAGTGGTGGCCTGCGCCATGCCGCTGGAGACGTCGCCAGTGTGCCAGAACGGCTTTCCATGCACACCTCATGCCGAAAGTATTCCTGTCACTGGAATGGCTGTCTCCAGCCGGTCTGTGCAGCAAACTTTATCACAAGCGCAGGTTCAACTGCCGGGTAAGCGGAAGAGCTTACTCGTTGGTATAAACTATTTTGGCACAGAGGCCGAGCTGTCTGGATGTATTGCAGATGTCAAGAGAATGCAGCCGTTTCTGGCGCAATTCGGCTTTCCCTCTGACCAGCACTGCCAGATGGTGTTGCTCGATGAACCTGGTTGGCCTCACTACCGACGTCCCACCTTGGCCAACATGCGACAAGCAATCCGATGGCTCGTGCATGATGTTCAGACAGGACAGCTTTCGAAGTGGGGTTCAGGGATGAGGACTGAGAAGCAGCGGCTGGGTTCCTGTTTGCACACTGAGGTGTCTAAATACTCTAACAGTGGACACTTTTCAACATATTCAGGCTATCGCCTGTGCAGGTGGAACATGCACAAGGGGGCAGGAGCCATATGCGAAAATGTCAGTGAAGACCACAGTAGAACAGAGAGATCAGGTTGCATGTCCAAGTGGCAGGGACTGGGGGTTTGTGTCGGCTCAGGGCTCGGGGGTGTTTCGAAGTCAAACCTGCCAGCAAGTTCCGAATTTAGCATCTGTTGCACTTACAAGTACCGAGTTCCTGGCGCTGCTAGACCCTCTGGAAGCAATGGCAGAGAGGGGGAGCTTGCCTTGTAGATGGTGGGGCAGAGACAAAATGGAAGGGTCTGGAGTTGAACTCCGAGTTCGACTCCAAGGTCGAGAGTTCCGGCGTGGAGTTGAACTGGAAGTTGAACTCTAAGTTCGAACCTGGGGTTCGGAGGGAACTTCGATGTTCGAACCCTGGGTTCAAGGGCCCGAACTCTAGGTTCGGAGTTCCAGAACTCCAGGTTCGGAACTCCAAGTTCCAAACCCAGGGTTCAAACGCAGACATCAACAGCCCGAGCAGCTCTAGCAGACTTTCACGAAAAGATCGCAGTGCCTCGGCAACCTCCTCGGCGAGGCGTTGGATGCAGGAGGCCTGGTCCTCTACAAGTCTCCGACTTGAGAGGTATCGGAGGCTGGGGCTCCAGCCGGTGAGCCCCAGCCTCCGCTACCTCCCAAGTCGGAGACTTTGCAGAGGACAGGCCTCCAGCATCCAACGCATCGCCGAGGCACTGCGATCTTTCCGTGAGAGTCTGCTAGAGCTGCTCGGGCTGTTGATGTTGGATTGTAGCTTGCCACTTTGGGGTGTACGATGAGGCTTCGGGGGTATAGCAGGATTCGAGGTTCCGGCTTACTTTAAGCTTTCGATAGTCGGGACGCACTTCGACGACAGGGCTTTCCTAGGAGCAAAGGCCTTTTCGGAAGTCACTCCTTCTGACTGCCTTGTCGACGGCGCATGTCTGCACTGCGGTTGCGGTTGAGGGGCTCTAGGCACCTCATTGCTGGCAAATCGACCGCTCGCGAGGCTTTGTGGTCCAAGCGCAGAGCCTTCAACACAAAAGAATCCCTCAACCCCACACCGGGGCCCTTCAGCGCAAGTTGCAGCTGACAGCCAGCGAGTGCAACATATGGCGGCGGGCTAGTACTGATCCAATTCGTCACCGGACGGAGTGTTTCCTGTGGCTGTGGGCCAAGGCAGCCAAACCGAAGGCTCATGGTGTTCTATCAAGGTTGTCTGCAGTCTCGAATTTCGAGAGCATGCCCGTTGGATTGCTTGCAACAGTTTGCGCTGTGCATGCACTTAAGTGCACCTTGTCGTTCGGTGGAAGCAGGCACACGGCTATGCTCAAGTTCAGTCATGACTTATGGGTGTTCTTTCGTAGCAGAGCAGGTTTGTTGCCCCTTCGGCGAAGCCTTCGCAAAAATCGTTGAAGAGGCGCACAGCTGTTGCAGATCAAAATGAACGGAATTGAACGGATGTACATCAGAGTCATTGCTTTGGATTTCCAGTGATTTAGAGGTTTGCGGGGAAGCCGTCACTCTCCCAACACGCTGCAATGCCTGGCAGGCCAAGGCATCCAGCGAGGGTGTGGCTTTACTACAAGAGGCCAGTATGGGAGTGCTCCGTGAGCTGCCGGTGGTCGCAAAGTGTTTCACTGAAGACACCCTGCTGCCGTAATAAAAGGTCATCGACTAGACTGTAATATGCTACGGTGAAGTTTTGAATGAAGGTAGTAACCGTTTGAATCGTGCATGTAAACCCACCCTCGACCACCCCTTCCGCTGAAAAACAGTCTATCGTACAACCCCTGCCCCCATACCCCCCATTTCTCTCGGACAAATGTGTGTCGAATTTGAGGTCTTAGCAATGTTTAAGTACGGAAGACCAAGATCCCACAGCAATGACGACCTTGCGGCCCCACACTTGCTCAATGGTGATCTTGGTAGATGCAGCCTTACGCAAGCAGCCATCCCTCGGAATTCGAACCGTTCTTGAAGCCCGAAATGCCCTGTGTCCTTCATGGGAAGGCGTGCGGCAAAGATGACGGTCTGAGCCGCTTGGAGGAAACCAGAAGCAAGGACTAGACTTCTCGTTGGGGCGGCTCTGGCTCAGAGTTCCTTGCAGATATCCGTAAATCAGGTGCTAGATCCTTTGTTTTTTTCGGATGCGTGCTGCTGGAGTTTCTCCTTACAGACGGCGCGACGGTCGTGAGGCTCCGAGAAACCCTGGAGAGCTTGGTGAGCCCCGAGGTTTGAACTCTTGCTCAGACGTCCCCGACGTCTCCAACATCTCCGACCCAGTCACCTACGACGATGCTCGGACTGGAGACTAGATGCCCTTGACGTGGCCAAGCCGGCTCCAGACAAATCCTGAAACCCTCCGGAGGCAAAACGCCCCAAGACCCCCAACTCCAGAGCCTGTGACTTTGTATTTTCATGTGGGATTTGGTGTACGTCGAAGCTTGCAGCCCGAATTCTTCAGCGTTGGCCGACCCAAACTTTCTGAAAGTTCGTAAATGCCTTGGTGAACACTTGCGCCAGCACACCCAGGATAGCGCTTCCTATATGGAACTGGCGCCCTGCGCAGATGGAACTCCCGATGTCGCCGGCGTGTCCGACGCGGACAGCACGTCCTGCTCCGATGATCTCCGATGGAGCGTCTGACTCCACCCCGGGTGGGGATGGATCGACGAAGGAGAGCGCTGCAAGATGAGGGGCAGAGCAGAATGACTCAGATTGAGCCAACGAGAGAGGGAAAAACACTTTCGACTGCCACAGAAGTGCTAGCGAATCAGGACTCATCCATGGACATCTGCTCCGCCCCGCTGGAGCCAAGCATCCAGCAGCTCTAAGCACTGGGGCTTCCGGCTTCGAAGCGCTTCACAAGTACCATCGGAGCAGTTTTGGAAAGTTTCTCAGCTCGTCCCCAAACATACATTCAGCCGGGCCGACACTTTGCCTCTGCACTTGACGTCTTTGATTGTCTTAAACGGCCGCAATCCTCAAAAATGTGCCGAGGGTGATTTGTCCGATGCATCGGAGCCGCAGAAGGAGGTCAAGGCCGGTTCAGGGCCTTAGGTCCAGGCCTGCAGCTGGAGCATCTGTGGGTGTCGCTAAGCAAATGATTCAGGGACGGAGCACTTTTGTCCGGTTGTCTTGGCATTGATGTTGCTTGTGACTTGGCAGCGCCTGTCGTTGTGCATGTTCAAGGGTCGGCTCTCAAAATTTGTGCAAGGATGGCACTGTCATCAGCATGCTTTTTGGTCAAGTAGACAGTACGTGACATGCGAGCACGGATGATGCAACCGCACCCCTAAACTTCAACCAACCTTAAACCTAAACCCCCTGAGGAAAAGTGCGCAAATGCCTAGGCAGCCAACACGAACTCCTGAATCATCCCAGGTCTTCCTGAGCGTTTACCATGTGGGCGACTACGTGCCTCGGACATCAACTGTTTGCCGAGTCCAGGTTTCGGTGTGAGTTTGCTGCATACATGTGCGGGGAGATGCTAGAATTGCCGCTTCAGATGTTTTCCTTGCGGCTTCCAAGCCCGAGAACTTTGCCCGAAATCTGCAAGCCTTTCCCGCACAGATTGCAGCCTCATCTGTCGCTCTCAGGCTTGGTGGATGAATTGCCTGTTTGCCAAGTACCTCTCGCCGGTGACCTGCTCGACGACTTTGAAACCAGCACATGGATCCTAGAGCCGATGCGGCTACGGCAATCGAGGCCTAGATTTTCCTGTTCAGCGGAAGACATGTACAGGCACAGAGTACATGGAATTATCAGAAGGGTGACTAGCCCGGACCTCGAAGAACTCCTGCGAGACTTAGGTGGAGCTTGGCGGGGCATTTCACCTCCCCGTTCAGGTTGGCAACGAAGAGCAGCTAAGCTGAACAGCGACATGAGAGGTTTTTGATACATTGTGCTCCCTGCTGCCCTAAGCTCTCCCCTAAGCTTCATCGCACCAGGCTTTCCCTCGGTGCGAGCCTGGGCACATGCTGAATTGCGAACCCTCATGATTATCAGACGTTTCCCACTCGTTCCGCGCCAAGATGGGGAAAGGCTGTTGTGTGTTCAATTTTCAGGTGGGCCTATGGCTACACGCCACAGGGCACTGGGGTCTTCAAGACCATCCCGCGCTCCGGGCCGCTGTTCCGGGAGAGCATCGAGCTGCGCCTGTGCTGGATGCAATTCAATGGTGTTGCTTTTGTGACTTTATCATTGCAAGCTTACATGGTCTAGCATGAACGGAATTTGACAAAGTTGCATGTGAGGCGCCTTCATGTGCTGTTCATTTCGCCTTCGGCGACATCTACTGCAGAGGGGTAAAGTAGATGTCACCAAATTCTCGAGCCGGGTTGTCATGAGTCAGTTGTTCAAAGCAATCCCCTTTGCCACGTGGCTTCTGCGATTTCCTTGCTAAGCAAGGCTTCTGCGATGTGCGTACGAGGGCAACTTACACGTTCGGTTACTTGTACGTATCCATGGAGCACAGCATGCGCTTGAGAGTGATGGCACGGCCGAAAGGCCTTGCAGCTCGAAACGACATCCACCCCAAACCACGAGCCAAAATTTCACAGCGACGGGTATGTCATTGATCTCCTTTTATATGTCATGGCCTGCAAGCCAGTGTTTCGTACAACACAGTGAAGCAGTAGAGGTTCTTGATCAAACGAAGTCTGCCTGGGGAAGTTTATACATGTATATACCAATAGCTGAACCGTAAACCACTCATTGAGAGCTGAACTTTAAAGTTTAAAGCATATATTGGTACTGGTACTATATCCGCTTTCCCATGCCCCAATACGTTCTTTTGGATCGTATGCGACTGATATGCAAACGTGCGAACATTAAGAGTGTTATGGCTCCTTACGTTCATGTACTTCTACGGTAGTGCTTTTTCGATCATGAAGCTTTTTGTATTAATCATTTTGGCTTTTTCCGAAGAAGCGGGCTAAACACTTAAATCATGGAGCCAGTTCATTGCCCCTGCTGAAGCCCGTCGAAGCTTGTACCAATGAAGCATTTTTCCATTGGGCAACATAGGCATACCGTTAGGCGAGCTGTTTGGTTTAATGAGACACCTGCTAGACCCCCTCATGGGCGATCGCCTTTTCAGAGTTGTTTATTGTTTATGCATGTGAAAAGAAAGCAATAAAATGCAGCTGCTGAACCCGTGTCAGACGTGTGACCTACAATGCGGTCTTCGGATCAGCCAAGCGGGAGCCAAAAAATGCGGCTGCTGAGGAAACCGGCTGGCTGACACCAGCAGCAATGACTGCTGGCATTTGACTTCTTGGGCTTTTGAAGATCTCTGGTGTTCAGACACAGTGACAGAGTCCCAAGCCGGACGATGAGTACGGATACTGCATGCTTCCGGGTCTTTAGCGGGCTTCACCAGTGAGCCTGCCACACCCGGTTTCTGGTGCCTTTGGCACAGCATAGCGCGCAGCGAGAACAATGCCGTTCCTAATTTGATAAACCTTTACGCCTATGTAACATGCCATGTTTTTCACAAAGTTTTTCCTGCTTTTACTTGTGCAGTTGTTTTGACTTGAGCTTCGACTAGAGGGTTTTCGGTTGGTGATGGCATGTACTTTTTTCCGAAGGGAACTTTGCTCATCGCTGCGCCAAGCACAAGAGTACATCGTAGGCAGAAACCTGTGCACGCGCCGCGCGCTTACCTTTCACCGATCCGGCGGAGAAGAGGTGTTCAGAAAAGTGTACGGTTATTCCTTGAAAACCACGCCCATGTACACTGATTGCCCCAGAAGGGCAATCGTTGTCACAGGAAATTGTCCTGCATGGCGGGGCAGGCAGGCTTTGCTAGTCTTAGCCCGAAGCATTAGAGAAGCCTGGCGATGTTCCAACATGATTTAATTAGTGCGCACTGATTTTTCTGAGGCTGCAACGCCACCAACTGCTTCCCAGTCATGTGTGGGTCCTGAGTTCTAAGAAGTCAGGAGACGCGTTGTTCTTCCACTACTCCGGGCATGGAGGCCGCGAGCCCTCTGCCTCAGGAGCAGACGGATATGTGGAGACTCTCTGCCCGGAGGCGGGGCGATCCGATGGCTGCAGAAGTGCGGTTTCAGAGCTTGTCGGAGTAGTACACAACACCCGGTGGCACACGAAGTCCAATGAAAGGACTATGACGAAGCGGGGATGCTGCTGGACACAGAACTATTCGAGACACTGGTGCGGCCCTTGCCAAGTGGTTGTCGTCTTACCTGCCTCATGGACTGCTGTCACAGTGGTGGTGTGCCCTTGATTGCACTGAACGGCTTTCATGCCGTGAATATTTGCAAATGCTGTGCGCACGAGATGCCCAGGTACTCAACTTGCCTTACCTCTTCACCGGCACCGAAGCCAACCTGAAGCAAGCTTTGGCTGGCAAAGCCGTGTCTCTAGCCCTCTCCAAGGATTGGCTGCGGGATCTGCAGTCTATGCGCTCAGGAAACCCAGTCGAACTTCTGGAAGATGCCGCTAGCATGGGCCTGGGGTTGTGGGGCCTCTGGAAGGAACACCAGGCCACAAAGGGCACGAACGAAGCCGGGTTCTCCACCGACGAAGCTGGCAATGTCGGGCTCGCTGTGGGCGAGGTTGTGGCAATCACCGGATGCCGCTCTGATCAGACGAGTGCAGACGTGGGTAACGTCCAAGCGCAGTTCCACATCCAGCCATCCCGGCGCGGGTCAGTGCTGATTGGACGGCGACGTTCCGCAACCGGGGCCGCTGGGGGTGCATTGACCTCTGTCTTTATCGAATCGCTGCAGGACCTGGCGGCACACTGCATGCCTGCTTTGGCGCATCAGGCGTGTATAGCCACGTCTTGCAGGACCAATCCGCGGCTTCGTTCACATACTTGACTCTGCTTGAACGGCGACTTGGGCCCAATTTTTTGTGAAGGCTTTCAGGGTCCGGCTCGGGCGTTGTTCGTTGTTGGGCAGTTCCGAGCTCACTGAGGATTCGCGCTCGCCTTGATGAGGAGGACTTTGAGCAGGTGCCGCAGCTGGCAACATCCCTCCTCATCGAGCTGAGGTGCTTTGGTTCTGCAAGAGATCCATCAAGCTTCAAGCAACGACAGTCCAAGAAATGTCAACTGCTCGCCAGCTAAGTCAAGTGTTCTCCTTGACGACGATCTCGCTGCCTGCACAGACCAGCGCTCGCGGCCATCCAACCGGGACATGCATGGATGGCAGCCCTGGCATCGCATCAGGACCGAAGTTAGGACGCAAGCGCTGCAGAATATCTGAGTGGTTGTTGGAAATGACGTCGTGCGATAAAGGCCCTGACTGTGACTTGACGACGAGTGGACAGCCGCAATTGAACGACGGGCCTTGCACATCGCAAGTGCTTAGCCTTATGCAAGTGGTCCGACACCCTCGTAGGCCAAGAGAATGTGTGGGGCACACGCAACGCAGCTATCTTGGCACGTGTGTGCTACAAAGCCCGAATGTGTTGCGGAGCGAGCCTTGTTCCTGTCAGATCTAGGCATTCCCCAACAGTGAGAACCCTTCGAAAGGATCTTCTGCCCTGCTTGCCGGTTTCCTCAGTTCGATGGCATCTGCTCCGCAGGGAGCCGCAATGCTGAATGGAGCTCGAGGCACATTGAGACAGCACCGGCATGAGGCCCTGAAAATTGAGCATCACGCCTGAATTCCAAGGCGCTTTCGACGGGGCGACTGCACTCGGAGGGCTAAGTGCAGTGGCACAAGGCTTTGCAGCGTCACAGCTGCTTGGAGGAGGTGGCAGTTGGTGGCAAGAAGATGGGTTCGAACAGCGACCTTCCATCCAAACGGACGGAGCAAGCTCAAGCTCAAGCTCAAGTGCGAGCAGGTCTGATGAGGCCTGGGGCTGCAAACACACCAGCGGTTGAACTCTGAGTTTTGCCATGTTGTGCCATTTGCGCAGGAGGTAGGCCCAGAGCCAATTGATGAGGTGGACGAGCTACAGCTGCAATGATGCGGCCCTAGCATAGTTTCAGGAGGCATGGGTGTGTAGCTCAGAACATCCTTGTGACAAGGACTGGCTGCCCTCGGATGTTGAGGATGTCGCAGAGGCGGTGATGGACGTTTTCGACGACGATTGAGCAAGTGGTGCGCGCGGAGTTGTATTGTATAGTGTACACAACGTGTTTAGGCAGCTTCTGCGGCCAAAGTGCTGCCGCAGACCATCGAGTGCAAGACGCGCGGCGATACCATCACTTCGTTTAGGGTTTAAAATTCTAAACTTGTGTAAGCGGGGTCGTTGCGAGGTGAAAGATTTCCGCGAGAACCCCCGTGATACGGGTGGACAGCCCCCAGCAGGTAGCCCGTAATAGAGCCTGGGTTCAAAAGGTAGCACTGGCTCGTTAAGGGTGGCTTGCTTTGGCAGGTGGCACTGCTCCGGATGCGAATCCCACCTCTGCCACAGCTCTGGGCAGTTCTTGCAGCAGTGAAGGGCGAGGCTCTGCCAAAGAAGCCGAGGCACAAGCGACCGTATCCCGAGACCGAATGACGATGGGGCTTCCTTGGGCATAAATTAAATGGGTGAGACTTGCCACATCTTGCGACAAGGCACCCGCACTCCAAGACACGCAAGAAGCAGCCCAGCCAGCTTCCCGCTCACATCAAGGTCTTGCTTCTGGATCTCCGGGCCTTTGCTGAGTTTCCCGCTCGCCAGGAGCTTTGCCGAGTCCACCGAGGGCTGAGCGAGATTCAAGCACGGCAGCGGACTTGGACAGCTGTTCCCAAATGGAGTCTGCCATCCTCTGAATTGCAAGGCATGACCAGTTGCCTCTCCCTCTCCAGATCTCGGTGAGACAAGCAGCACAGTATTTGCTATTACCGGGCGCACCTCGGCCTGCAAGATTGATGTACAGCGCAAGCAAGTTATGATGTCCATGCTGCTCAGACGGGAAGCTGCTGACCCCGGTGACAAGAAGGTGAGCAAACGAGAGAGATGCGAGCGCGCGCACACACATACACACACGAACCAGTGTCCCTGACCTGGGAAAACCCGCAATCTGGGCATTCAAGTTCCACCTCCTACTTTACCGTGAACTGACCATATCTTTGCTGGACTTCGCATGGGGTTCTTTTCCTTTCGTCCACGTCTTTGCATTATCAATGCTTCGAAAGCCTGTTTGAGCAAGTTGGAGAAAATGGACAGAAGCTTCATAATGTTGACCATGTGCCACAAGAGCAACGAAGCATGTTTGTAGAGCAGAGCAAGAAGCAGGGGCTCATTTTGTCTTGACGTGTCCGCCCTACTTGACACCTCGAGGCTTGCTCACTTCTTGACGTTTTGAATGTGGAAAATGTTGCTCGATGACGTCAAGTTTGTTTAAGCAGAGGGTTTACCGGCCCGCTCGATCTTGGTGACGATGCTTGGTCCGAACCACTTGTGACAGCTGACCACCTGACGTCATATGCCTTAAAGGCCACATGAACCTGCCGGAAAGGTCTTGGGAGACTGCGTCAATGTCGTCGGCACTTATGCGGATCGCGGCACGATGGCAGCAGTTCGGGAGGCCTCCCATTTTTGAGGGGGTTTTGAGTGCCGTATGCATTGTGCTGGCATGATGCTGCTTCTGCCTTGGTCTCGAAGCAACAGTCGAGCAGTTGCATCGGACATTGGAGGCTGGTAGCGATGTTGCAGACTACATGGCGCAGTTCCAGCTGTTTCGGCTGCTGCATATCGCGAAACTCAACAAGGAGTGCAGCCAAGCCCGGAAAACGTCCGAGTCGGAGCAAGTTTCTTGGTTAGGACATCTTCGGAGAGCCGAAGAAGAAATCCCTGACCAAGAAAATAAAAGACACACGTGGCCGGCTCGGTGTTGGGCACAGTTTCGTGCTGTTGCACTGAGATCGTGAATAAGGTGTCAATCTGAAGCGCGTGTACTCCATCGGCCCCGAGCGCGTCGAGGCATCCCTGGTAACTGCACCAAGTCCATGTCCGGGTCGCATCGAGAACACCTGGCAAAGTGCACGAAGTCGCGAAGTCCATACGACGACAACTCAAGCTGCGGTAAGCCTCCACTGTTCTTGCCTCGCAGCGCCTCGAGTGCTGAGTTGCTGTTGAAGTTCTCTTTTGGCAGATGCCCCGGCAATACCCATTCCCGAGAATTCGAATTAGGCCCCTAGGCGTTGAGATGTCAAGATATAGCTGTTCTCTCGTCGGCATCCAAACACATTTCCCGATGCGGTGCGGGAACCGTGCTTTTATGAGGGTGGACCCACCGAACTGCACGAAATTTAGGAGGGCTTTATACAATGTCTGCCCTGGACCACAGGGCATGTTGAAAGCGGCGTCGAAAGTGCGCCATCCAACCCTGTCTCTGCGCAAGAGGAGAAGGCCAGGAGCTGAGACCTCACAGCTTTGAACCCCAAATAACTAACGGTGGAACTGTTCCCCGAACTGTGCGTACTACGAGTGGCAGGCCCAAGGTCCCAGAGGCGAGTGCGTGCATTCTTGTGCTTCTGCCACTGGTGCACCAGCATGCTTTGCTTTGATGCTGGCACCAAGTTTATCCCATGCTTTGCTTTTCTTTGCCCCTGCACTGCAACGCCAGCATGCCCGGTGCTTTGCTTGTCTTTGCTGCTGGAATGCCAAAGCTCACCCGGCCGATCACCATTCCCATCCGTTCCCGTCCAAGCCAAGCTGCCTGCATCCGCCTTGAGCTCCCGCCCGACGCCTCTGGCAAAGCAGCTTGTGAAACACGCTTGGGGCTTGCAGGAACGCAGAGAGTTTTGCAGGTGGGCGCATGTCGAGCCCAGAAAGAGATGCATGACTGAAGGCCAAAGTTGCCTTTCTTTGAGATTTGGGCAGGGGGCCGAGACGGTTGTGACATGTTTTGACATGCTTCGAGCCGCGCAGAGCTTGTGGAGTCAGTGCCGCCTTGGTAGCTTGTCCCTGCCTTCAGACGGCTTGCGCGACCATAAACCGTGCCGCGACGCTCCTTGCGGACCTGGAGGCAGCTAAGGCCCCCTTAAGGAAACAGAAGAGTTGGATTTTGCGCTAGACTGCGGTGGTTACATGTAACGTGCCGAGACAGGAACATGTTCAACATGCCGATCCCCTCGCAAATTCGATTCTGGTTCCGCAGCCACGACTCTACCCAAGGTAGTAGGTCTTTTCTCGTGACTTCAATCGTCGGAAAGCCGACCTTGTCGCACCGGTCGTGCCAAGTCAGTCCAGCAGAGGGTCCAGACATGGGTCTGTGCCAGTGCAATATCACTGGTCACGGAACTGATTCGGAGATGTTTGCCACTTGCCGGCCTTGCAAGTATCTTTTGCTTCAGTGACTTCAGTGCATCTGGGAGGGGCCGCTTCCTTCAACGGGCTTTCTGTACTGCAAGGTGACTGCTGAGGAGTTCGCGGACAGGCTCGACAGGCAAGCATCGAAATCCAAAGGCAAGACCGGTGAGGTCATGATCAACGTGGATGTGATCGAAACCATCCTTTTGGAGACTTGGCTCCACGACAGACTCGTCTGCGAGGGCGGAGAGCTTGCTTGTGGGTGTGACCCTGACCTTTTGCATCTCAGGAGGATACAGGCGCGTCGCAAGATGGCAAATTTATAAAGCCAGATGCCGTGGAGAACCTCATCTGAATTTGGTAATTAGATCTAATTATGACAGATCAGTAGTGGCATGCCGACGGCCGCGCTTCTGTGCTGCATGATGCTGCATGTGATTGTATGTCTCCAGCAGTGTGGCTTCGATTTTTTTTTTGCAGTTGCCATTTCCTGGCTGTTGCATCCTTTCTTGCAGCGGGTGTGCGCTGCACAGAGCTGAGGAAAGCCTTTGATAGGGTCAACTCGAACAATGAGGAGCCCCGTCACAGCAAAGATCGGAAGGGCACAGGCTTCATCACCAAGGCGTGTGCAAGCTTTGTGATTTGATAGCTGGCTTTTGCCAGGGCCATCACATCACATGTCACAGGCTCGCAAAATGAAACAGTCAGTCTCAATGCGAGCAGGCCATGATGATGGACATTCTGTCCAAGGTCGAGGACGAGGTGTCGGTTGCCGACGAAGTAGTAGGACAGTGGCCTGACGGGTAAACCTGCACATACAAGCATGGGCTCATGCTCCAAGGGCGAGCCCGTTCCCTCCCAAAATGCTTCCGAACTGTGCTTCCCCTTCCTCTCCTCCGGCCACAGGGCGACGAGGAAGAGATTCAGTCAACTGCAGAAGCAGTTTCAGGCACCGGGCCCGCTCGGCGGAATTCTCGGTGCAAGGAGCTGGGCGCTGTCTTGTTGGCCTTGGGGATGAATTGCTCACCCGGCGAAGGGCAAAATTGGCTTCCAAACGTGGCAGGAGCGCAAAGGCACTGGCTACGTTAGCAAGGACAAGCTCCAAAAGCGCCTCGGCCGGACATCAGCAAAAGACATCAGAAGACTGTAAGTAGTGTGCTGGTGCCCGCAGCCCTACAGCTCCAGTTAGGGACGGATCCGCAGCCAGTCGTTGACTTGTGTCGCTTCAGGATTCTCGCAGCCGCAGGGGAGGAGGAATGAGCAGAAGCCCGCTCCCGTGTTTTTAAAAGCAACTCGCACAGAGGTGAGGCTGCGGGCGAGTGCATTTGTCATACTGGTTCCAGCAATGCTAATGCTGGAAAGTGTTCACGCGAGCGCGCCTGGAACCAGAAATACGTCTGTTGCACATATTGCAACTTTTAGATTGCAGGGCAAAAGTCCTGACAGTGTCACGACAGAAAGCAGCCGAATCCAGCCGCGTGTTGTGCTAGTTTCCGACATGTTCCGACACCACATAGGCAATTCCTCACTAGACCCAAGGATCCGGCAAGAGTTTGCTCCTGATCCTAAGCAGAGTCATGAGCTGCAGGGCCAAACTCGTGTGTGTGAAGCTAGGTCCCTGCGGGAAGCATGCCTCAGCGATGGACCTCAAATTGTCCACCTAGTTCTCTGAGCAGAATGTCTGTGCCATGCTCAACGTCATTTGTGACGGAATCACTCACTTACTAGTGGATGCTGTTGTCGTTCTTGGAGATGACTGCTTGCGGAAGTCCTGCGGGGGACATCTGCAGAGGAACTATTTCCGAAGCTTCTTGTACGGTCTCACCAGATAGGTTCTGATTGAACTGGAGCAACCTACAAAGAAAAGCATGAAAAGCCTGCTCTGGCAGGCCAGATTGCCTATGATTGCCTTCTTGTTACTTCAAAACCGTGGTTGCCAGCAGCACCAGTCGACTGGGACAGTTGAGTGAAGCAATGCTGACCTGCTTAATTACTTGAGAAATGGCCAGGCAATGGGAAGCATCGATTCCGTGGCGCAGCCGTCATGATTTCACTGTCTAGCGCCAGGACCGAGCCGTAGCATGGCAACATGACAACATCCCGCAACGATGCAAGTCAGTTCAGATGACTCGACTTGGACTCTGTCAATTGTAAGCACTGGCCATGCTGTGGGGCTTGGGCGCTGCTGGCCTTAGATTTCTTCCGACCATGATGTCGCGTCATGTGCTGGAGTCGCCCAAAGCCGTGTTTAAGTCATCACGCCTTCTGCTTCTTGGAGTAGCATAGAGGGCGTCAGGCAGAAGAAGGAGGAGCAAGGGTCAACGAGGGCCTAAGCTGGCAGACTAGAATCAGACTAGAATCAGTGGACCCGCCGCTAGCCGCTTTCACCCGAAAGCGACAAGGCGAACTACCAAGCGCGAGAACAGTAAAGCTTGGTGGAAGTGCTAAGCATTTGGTTTTGCCAGTGTGTTGCAAGAAGAATCGGCGGCCATTGCGCCATGGGTTGGTGCCGCGGAGCTGTTGGACACATGGGTTCTTGGGGTTTGGGCACGGGGGTATTTGAAGGCTTGATGCTAGGGAAGACAAGCTTGGGCTGCTTGCAAAATACAGATGGTGAAAACTGTGAGGTTGTTGTAGACCTGAGTGCACTGATCGCTGATCGGCCGCGCAGACGTGCCGCAAAGTGGTACCCCTCGCCCCTGACCCTCAAAGCCGCAAGACCCCGATCAACTGGAACTGATGTATTCGGGCAGACCCTTGACACAGACAGCGCCGCGTAGGCGCAAAGACATGTTGATAGAATCTCAGGAAATGTAGCTGAGCATGCCCTCGCACATAAGGCGCATGCTAGGACAGAAGGAAGTTGGCTATATTTTCCGACGACATGGCTTTAGGTGCATTGCACCACCAAAGGACCATTCCAGGTGCAACCGCGCATCTGAAGTATGTATACCATGTGTAGAGTTTGGCAGGCTTGGGTGCACATGTATCATCTGCGATCGATATCATGCCTTTTGGTTCAAGCCTTGGCAGTTGAGCCAAAAAGGCAGGATTTTGTTGCTGCCATTAGTCTGCGGTGGTGTCCCGCTTATTATGGCAGATGCTTTCGAGCAGGGGTCTCCTGCGTTCTTCGCATATGTGTTCAGCCGCTTTGCTGTTCACACTGAGGCCCAGGTGTTGCACCCAGCGGCCATGTTGGATATCAGGGCTCAGCTTCGGTACTTGGTTTCCGAGGGTCGGAACGAGGATGCTGCCAGGCGGGGACCCTATTTTTCTTGACCCTTTTTTTTTTTTTTTTTCTTTGCCCTTTTTTTTTTCCCTTTGGGGGCCTCGGTGTTTTCTATTACAGCTGCTACTGCACCTACTCCCACTAATACCTACTGCTACTACTACTACTACTACTACTACTACTACTACTACTACTACTACTACTACTACTACTACTACTACTACTACTACTACTACTACTACTACTACTACTACTACTACTACTACTACTACTACTACTACTTACTACTTACTACTTACTACTTACTACTTACTACTTACTACTACTACTACTACTACTACTACTACTACTACTACTACTACTACTACTACTACTACTACTACTACTACTACTACTACTACTACTACTACTACTACTACTACTACTACTACTACTACTACTACTACTACTACTACTACTACTACTACTACTACTACTACTACTACTACTACTACTACTACTACTACTACTACTACTACTACTACTACTACTACTACTACTACTACTACTACTACTACTACTACTACTACTACTACTACTACTACTACTACTTACTACTACTACTTACTACTACTACCACTGCTACTGCTACCACTGCTACGACTACTTCTACGACTACGACTACTACTACTACTACTACTGCTACTTCACCTACTTCTACTATACCTCCTACTACTACTACTACTACTACTACTTCACCTACTTCTACTATACCTCCTACTAGACTACTACTACTACTACTACTACTACTGCTACTACTACTACTACTGCTACTACTACTACTACTACTACTACTACTACTACTACTACTACTACTACTACTACTACTACTACTACTACTACTACTACTACTTCACCTACTTCTACTATACCTCCTACTAGCTACTACTACTACTACTACTACTACTACTACTACTACTACTACTACTACTACTACTACTACTACTACTACTACTACTCCTTACTAGTACTAGCACTGCTACTACTACCACTGCTACGACTACTGCTGCTACTACTACTACTACTACTACTACTACGCATGCGGCAAATACGGAGAACGCAGGAGCCCAGGGCCCAAAAAAAAAAAGGGCCAAGAAAAAAAAAAAAAAAGGGCAAAGGAAAATTCTCCACCCCTGCCAGGCTGTGGGCTTCAGCCCTCGAGATCCAGCATTACCCTCCCCCCCCTCCGCTGCTTGAGGGGTTGCCTCCAGGTCTGCCACCTATCCGCACGATCCCGTGTGTCGTCACGGACTGTGCCCGGTGCGCCCAGAGCCGGGGAGGGTTCCAGCTGCCGTTTGTGCCTCCTATCTGTCGGCTGGCGACGTCACGGCCCTTCATTCTGGGCTTTGGCCAACAGATTTGCTGCCGAACCACCTCTACGCGCTTTTCCGGCGGGTGGCGGATCAGTCCCAGCCCCGAGCGGCTTCTTCAGGGGAGCTGTGGCTGGTATTCCGACATTGGCAGGCCGGCAGTCGAGTCTGGCTTGAACCCGGGCAGGGAGTTCCTTCCTGGGAGGCTGGCCGAGCAGATGCCAGAGACAGGGCCCACAGGACGTTGTGGCTATGGCTTGGGGCCGTTTCTTATGGACCGGGCCTTTTACCCGCGGCCTGTCGCAGCTGCGGCGCTCCGACAGCATTCCGCTGCAGACGCTGCGAATCAGCAGCTTGTGGGGACTGCCTGGGACGCTGCCTGGGGTGCGCGTGAGGACGGAGAGCCTCGGAAGGGGCGCTCCCTTTCTTCCCTCTGGCAGGAGCCAGCGGTTGCGGAGTCGACCGCAGGCAGTCTTTTATATTGGGGTGGCGACCCCCGAAGCCCTAGGGAAGGGGCTGCAGTCAGGAGGGGACCTGGCTTTTTGTCCGGCGGTGGCGACCCGCCCGGTCTTGAGTCCTTCTCCTGCTCTGCCTCTGCTGCTGCCCGGCCTTCGCGATCAGCTTCCACGGCGGCTTCTCGGCTCAGGCCTTTGCTAGCAGCTGCGATGGCCGGTGTGTATGCGCAGCAGTCGCTCGAGGCGGCAGGGGATGGCGATGGCCAGCCCGGCCCGTCCTCCGGCCTTTTCGGGGAGGGTACCCCGGTAGAGGTCCGTGTTGAGGCCTGGCGCCGCGCATTTGGTCTGGCCGATGACGAGGAGTTCGCCTACGTCTTTATGTCGGCGGAAGAGGCGCAGAGGCAAGCTGGAGCAGAAATCGCGGCCAAATGGCGCGAAGTCCGCGAGCGAGTGGACGAGGGCAAGGCTCTGGCTTTTGCACATGAGGCAGCCCAAGCTGGAGCGGCGGCGGCCAAGCCCTCCACCAAGCCTCGCCCGCCTTTACCGCGGCGGCGGACAGCCGTGCCCAAGGCACCACTGCAGTCGAGGAACTTGCCGACCTTTGGGTAGATGCCAAGGTTCAGCGCCCGAGCGGTGAGCTCAACGCGGGGCGCCAAGCTGAGTGGGAGAACTTTGTGAGGCGCCGTGCTGCCAAAGTGTGCAGCGAAGCGGAAGTGGCCACGATCAAGAAGGCCGTGGTCTCTCTCCGCGAGCTTCAGCATTTCCAGGTTGCCCGGGGCAGAGACGGGCTTGAAGAAGTGGACACCCTGGACCTGGACGCCTTCATCTTCAACTCGGCCGCTCCTCATCGGGCCGTTGCGGTGGGCTGCCAAGCAAGCGGAGCTCACCTGGAAGATTCCGGATGCACCCCGGACTGAGCAGCGCCGGAAGCCCAAGGACGAGCGGCAGGCCACATTGGCCGAGCCGCCGATGCTGGTTCACCTGGAGAAGGTCATTGAGGAGCGGTGCATTTTGGGCGACCCTCGGTGGACTGCGATGCTGGGGCAATGGATGCAGGCCTCCAGCTGCATGCGGTATGCCCACCTTCGCAGGAGCGAGGTCCTGCGCATCACGGGGT